GACAACTGGCACCTACTCTTGGGCAGCGAAGTCCGCCGGGGGAATAGAAGACAGCTAGTGGCATCGAAGACGGCTCTGGGATGGGTACTCCACGGCACAGACTCGCGCACTATCGGTCACCGGGTTCATTTCGTGAACCACCTCACCGAAGAAACAGAAGATTCGAAGATGGATGAATGAAGTGATGACGAAGTAGTCATCACTTCGCATTGGAATCGATCGACATCGAAAAGAAGAAACCGCATTCCGATCCAGAGGAGAAAGCCATCAAAATGCTAGAAGAACACACCCACAGAAAAGAAGATGGAAAATTTGAAACCGCGCTACTTTGGAAGAAAGAGGACATCAAGATGCCCAACAATTACGAAAATGCGTACAGACGGCTGCTCACCACAGAGAAGAAAATCGACCGCGATCCACGCCTAAGGGGAAAATACATAGAACAAATGGACGCGCTCATCGAAAAGGGATACGCCGAGCGAGCACCGCCGACATCAACAGAAGACAGAACTTGGTACCTGCCGCATTTTCCAGTCATCAACCCGTTGAAGCCAAACAAGTTACGCATCGTACACGACGCAGCTGCGAAGACCGGAGGCACCTCACTCAACGACTGCCTTCTCACCGGGCCGGACCTACTTCGATCGTTGATAGGAGTCATGATGCGATTCCGTCAACACCAGTACGCCGTGACAGCCGACATCGCCGAAATGTTCATGCGCGTGGGGATCCGACCGGAAGACAGAGATGCACTGCGGTACCTATGGCGCGGCGAAAGAAGAGAGGGACCACCGGAAGAATACAAAATGAAGTCACTCATCTTCGGCGCTACGTGTTCACCAGCCGCCGCTATTTTCGTCAACAACAAGAACGCCGAGCGATATCAAGAAACGCAACCGACCGCCGTCAACGCCATAGTACAAGCGCACTACATGGATGACTACCTAGACAGCTTTACAACGGAACAAGAAGCCATAGAAGTGTCGACGCAAGTAAGAAAAATACACACCGACGGAAATTTCGACTTACGCAACTGGGTGTCGAACTCGCATCGAATAAGGCAAGCACTCACCGAGGGACCGCTACGCGTTCAACAACCGATAACACTCAACGACGGATCAAGAATAGAAAAAGTACTCGGACTCATGTGGAACCCGCAATCGGACGAATTGGGGTTCAATCTCGAGTTGGCGCGCATCCCATCGGACCTACTTGCAAACAAGGCACCCACGAAGAGAGAAGTTTTGAAGATTGTGATGTCAATCTACGATCCAATGGGACTTGCATCACCAGTCACAGTCAGGGGAAAGCAGATCATACAAGAAATTTGGCGACGCGGCACAGAATGGGACAAGAAAATCGACACCGACCTCGCAGAGCAGTGGACGACCTGGCTACAACACATGAAGGACCTACGAGGCGTCAAAGTACCACGAGCCTACATAGGATACAGCGAAGCCACTTCACTTCAGCTGCACATCTTCGTGGACGCCAGCGCCACCACGTACGCCGCCGCGCTCTACTGGCGGGCCGAGTCACCGGGAGGTCAAGTCGACGTGTCACTCATCACGGCGAAAGCACGCGTGGCTCCACTCAAAGTCACGTCGATACCGCGCCTCGAGCTACAAGCCGCAGTCCTGGGAGCAAGAATGGCCGCCACCGTGATAGAAGAGCACTCAAGAAAACCAGAATCGAAGACATTTTGGACAGACAGCAAAACAGTATTGTCTTGGGTGCGAACGGGATCGCGCTCATTCAAGCCATTCGTCGCGCATCGCATAGCCGCCATCGAAGAACTCAGCACCATCAACGAGTGGCGATGGGTGCCCACGAAGCTCAACACAGCAGACGACGCCACAAGAATATCACCGCACGACTTCTACGGCTACCACAGATGGTTCACCGGGCCTCCGTTTCTACGAAACAAACAAGAAGAATGGCCCGCCGAAACCGCAACCGAAGTCACCGGGGAAGAACGCGTACACCACATAAGCACGAAGAAAGCGCCGTCAATATCCGAAGCTGCACCGGACGTCACTCGATTTTCGCGCTGGGACAAGTTAATTCGGACTACGGCAAGAGTACTACAGTTCATCGACCTCTGCCAAGCGAAAACCGACCGAATTAACTACAGAAGAAAGAAAAACGAAAAGGAACCCGACTGGAAGAAAAATCAAAAATCGGCGCCGACACATAGGAAGAAAACGACGCCAACCGTTCAAGAAAGAAAATTCATCGCAATCGACCGAAGATACATCGAACGCGCAGAGAAAATAATAGTTCGCGTAATACAACACGACGCATTTCAAGACGAGTTGAAACAACTGCAAGGGGGCGCCACCATCGCTACGAACAGTCGACTCCGCCCACTTTCGCTAATAGTCAACGACGGCGTGTTGTACCTACGAAGCCGGGTCAACGCAGCGGCGGGAGTGACCGAAACTCAGAAGACACCGGCGATACTCGACGGGAACCATCGAGCCACCCGACTGTGGATAGAACACACACATAGAAGCCTTCTCCACGCCGGGGTGGAAACTACAGTCAACGAGTCCAGACAACACTATTGGATTTTACGCATTCGACCCGTCACAAAACGAATAATAAGCAGTTGCATAAACTGCCGCATAAGGAGGGCGGCGCCACCGTCGCCACCTACCGGAGATTTGCCGCCGACGCGCCTCGCTCATCACCGACGGCCATTCACGTACACCGGATTGGATTATTTTGGGCCGTTGACAGTCACCGTGGGCAGGCGTCAAGAAAAACGCTACGTCGCGCTCTTCACATGTCTTACTACGAGAGCCGTGCACCTCGAGTTGGCCGCCTCACTATCGACGGACTCCGCCATACACGCACTACGGCGCATGATAGCGCGCCGCGGGTGCCCTACCGAAATTTGGTCGGACAACGGGATCAACTTCCACGGCGCAGAAAACGAAATGAAGAAGGCAGTGCAGCAGGCGACGAGCGAAGAAGCAAGCATCCGCAGTATCCGGTGGAGGTACATACCGCCGGGAGCACCATTCATGGGCGGGGCGTGGGAACGCCTCGTGAAGTCCGTCAAAATCGCGCTAAGTGCGGCCACACCTAAAATATCATGCTTACGGACACATAACTGTGTTAAAAATATGCCTATATGTATGCCCGATGTATGTACAATTAGTTTTAAGCTCGCACTAATGTAATTTTTGAGAAAATGAAAAATAAAGTATAGCGTGGGTGAGGTAATGGATCGCTGGCCAGCCCAGTCCTAGCATATAAAATTCGAGTCGGAACATGCTCCGACATGCATTCAGCGACAGGCGCTCCTACCATAAGGAACAGGAAGAAACAATCAAGCGGTTCACTCTGGACCTGAAGCCTCCTCTCACCGGCCATCCATTATCAGCGCCCACCGATTTCTTCAATACCGAACACCAGGGGTTTTATTCGCCGAAACTACAGTCCACTACAGTCAAGACTCCTGCGTGTAACTTCCTCCACCCCTCAGTACGAGTCGGTAACTGTCCGCTACTGCGACAGCCCGGCGTCCCGTACAGTGGCACTATTGGGTTTTTAGCGGGTAGGGCCCCCCGTTATCTCGAGCAGCTACTAAGCCAGTCCCAGGTAAGATTTGAGGGTCCCACATAACCTCGTTTCTCACCCAGGGGCGAGGTATGAGTCATGCATTTGCCTATTTAAAAAAAATGCAAAGAGGGTGGGGGGGGGGGGGGGCTATAGGCTTGATTAATCTCACAAGCCTATAGCACGCCTAATGGTAAGCGGCCACCATAGCATATAGACAATTGCGATACCGAAGCTATCACTCGCGCCGTCACCTACTTAACCTAATCCCCTACCGCGTGGAGCCCAGGAACCTTACTCACCGACAGATAGACAACTATAATATTATTTTATTTTAGTCTTCTGTAAGTTGGACGTTACTTCCCCAGACGGGTGCCGGGCGCTCCAATTTGAGTGGAAAATCCGCTATGCCCTACCCTCTCTCTTATCTTCTTATCTGAAACACAAGCAAAAGACGAGAGCTTTCCATCGAACACCTAATGTAATTTATGATCAATATACCAGATTAGGGAATAATACCGTAGAAGGAGGCGGCAACGCGTAAAACGGGACACAGTTGTGTCGCGGTCCGATAATGAATTTCAATTTCATACCGACTGCACACTTTACGATGTTCACACGCCAGACGCCAGTAACAAAACATAGAGCTGCTACTACCGGTAAACATTTCGATATAGAGTGATAGCTTACGTTGTATACTTATAATTTTGTCTACTTTCACATTTTACTTTTGGCGCCCCTTGCTAACTAGTACCTCTAGAGCAATCGCACTCGCACCTTAGTTTTTACCCCAGAGCCAGCACTGCTTAAGTGCAATAAAGAGATTTATTTTATAAAATCACACTTTTAACTTTTAGACATTAAATTGGGAGACAAAATATTAACCAAAGGTTTGACTAGGTACCTGAGAAAAAAATGGTTTTTTGAAAAACGCACTGTAATACGCAACTATGCAAATAAATTATCTTTAAAAAAATACTGTTGAAAAACATTTAAGGAGTCCATTATAACATAAGTACATTTAAGAAGTAGGTACATTTACCTGTCAAATCGTACCATAGTAAATGTATGAAACCGATGTGCCACGACACGTAAATATGTTTCCGCCTATAATCTCTTTCCGCGTTTAACCAGCTTTGATTCCACCTTTGAAACTAAAGACTTCTATTTATTTTATTTCTTTATAAAGCAATAAATAACACCAGTTTTTACTTTCAAAGCATTTAACTGCAGTCACAATGTTCATGAAAGCTAAAAAAGTTTCTTTTGTATTTAATATTGTATCAATATTTTAGAGTTAATCTTTCATATCGGAGAAATGTTCCCTAATTTTTATCGTGTCATAGCCTCTCTATATCTATACCGCACTATAAAAACCCTGGAGTGACTAAAACCCTTTCCATTGTGCGGAAGGACACCAGTGCATTCACAAAATGAACCCTTCGTCCAAAACTTGCGACAAGAGATCTAAAGCTGCTGAATACAAACTACAAAGAATTTTGAATAAAATCGAAACTTTGAAAATCAGCGATTCCTATCTATCGCAAATCAAGTTTCCTGGAAAAGAAAAGAGGTCGTCCAAAAAGATCACAAATTATGTTAAAGTTTATTCTGGCATTTGTGTTGTGCTTGTTGGGGTGACCGTGAAGTGGTTTTACGACGACATTACATCCAAGGTAATGAAGCAAACTAATTTTTAACAGTTTTTAACATTTTGAAAGATTTTTTCTTTCACCCAAAAGATTACATCCGAATCGATTCCGCTGTTCGTCCGTCTATGCAGCTAAATAGCTAGCTAAATTATAATAAAACTTTTATTGTCATAATTTACAGGTCAGGTCAGTGCATTCGCTCGGATAGCGAAGGGTGCGGGTTCGAGTCCCGTCTGCTATCTGGTCCGCGTGGAATTTTTTCTAGTTATATTTTCTTTAGATTTAAACTTTTATTCTTTTCTATTGCCGCTATAAAAATGCACCACAAGTCTACAAATTAGGCCTAGAATTCACGGAGCTGTTTTTTACTCGCACCCGTTGCTGCTGCTTTGTTTCATAACTCACGAGTGATTTTCCATGTCTGTTACTCATTCACGCAAAAATGGATGAAATTCGGCACACATATAGTTTAATATCTGGATTGAGGCATTCCCATGAAATTTTAACTTTCTGCTGAGGGACACTCAAAAAACTAAAGTTAACGTGGACAAAGTAGCAGGCGGCCGCTAGTGTTAAATATTTACGACTCTCTGTCATCACCTATTTTTAAAATGCAACCTTAAATTTAGAGTTGTCTGGTGGAAGTGCCGTCGTCTTCGAAATCCCTGTTCCGCCCTCCCGAGGACTGCTCCATGTGCATCGGAGTGGATGACGTCGTCAGACTGGCCAACATATCCGCTGAGGAGTTTGAACAGCATTACGCGTATAGTGCCACTCCTGTTATCGTTACTGACGCTACTCAAGAATGGAAAGCAATCAAGGTATGACTTTCTCGTTTTAAGGTCTCCGTCATCGTCATTAGCCAATTAATTTTATTGACGCCCTTGGATACAGGCCTTACAATTGGACAAAATCACAGGGTAAACGGGCCAGGGGGTCCGTATACCGGTCGAGGGAAGCCTGAAGTACCTCGGCCTGGTGTTGGATCCCCGATGGAGTTTCGAGGAGCACTTCAAGCTCCTCGCTCCACGGCTGTGCGCCGCCGCAGCCGCACTCGGCAGGGTCCTCCCAAACGTGGGGGGACCAGGAGATGCGTGCCGTCGACTGTATCACGGGGTGATACGATCGATGGCACTTTATGGAGCCCCGGTTTGGGCAGAGTGCCTCAAACCCCGCACGATGGCCCTGCTGCGACGACCGCAGAGGACCATCGCGACCCGGGTCGTGCGAGCTTACCGCACGGTCAGCCACGGCGCCGCCTGCGTACTCGCGGGTATGACGCCGTGGGATCTCGATGCCCAGGTTCTGGCAGACGTGCATCGAGGTCGGGTCGAAGCCAGGGAGCGGGGTGAAAGACCTGCCCCAGCAGAGCTGCGGCAGGTCCGTTCCATCGCGCAGGCAGAGGCCTTGCGGCGATGGGATGAGGCACTCGCCCATGTAAGCGCCGGCCACCGGACGATTGAGGCCATTCGTCCGGTGTTGGAGGAGTGGGTGGGTCGCCGGCGCGGCGGCCTCTCGTTCCGCATGGTGCAGGTACTGACCGGGCATGGATGCTTCGGTCACTACCTGTACCGTGTCGCACGTCGGGAGGAAACGCCGCAGTGTCATCACTGCGGCGCCCCGGACGATACGGCCGAGCACACCTTGCTGGAGTGCTCGGCCTGGCGGCAGCAGCGCCGCGACCTGATTGCGGCGCTGGGAGGCGGAACCCTCTCGCTGCGGAGCATGGTAGAGGCCATGCTCCGTAGCGAGTCGGCATGGGAGGCGGCTGCCTCCTTCTGCGAGAACGTTATCTCGCAGAAGGAGGCAGCCGAGAGGGAGCGGGAGGATGATCCCCTGGCCGCTCCCTCCCGCCGAAGAAGAGCGGGCAGAAGAGGACGAGTGCGTGCCCTGGCTACGCCCGTCCCATGAGCCTGCCCGCGGGGATTCCTAGCTGGCCGGTACGGCGTATTGTGCCGTGCCGGCCACCGAGGGATCCCCTGACGGCAGCCCCCATCTTGTAGTTCTGTCCTGCAAAGAGGGGGGCGGCGGAGGGAGCTACACGGGCATGCCCAAGTAGTCCTCCGCAGCGGACGGGGGGCGGTACGGTGGGCACTAGGCCGCGTATTTTGCCCCCACGCGCGGGCCATCCTGCGCACGTCTTCCCCCGCAATACCTCGGGAGACCCCTGCCGTGGAGCCCCGGCTAGGCCGGGAGGCTGCTGGGTGCGGAGACGCGGAAGAATCCCTAAACGGGGATCCCGCGGTTTCGCACTAAGCAGCTTAGAGGGTATTCGCAGGACTTTTTTAGCGGATATTATACCGTAAAGCGCCCGTAAGAGTTGCGGGGTCCTCGGTGGGCAGCCACTGTGGGGTTCGTAAGACTTGCGGGAGCCAGGTGTGAGGTCCGTTCGGCGGTGTGCCTCTTAAAGGCGCCGTCGTCTGTAAATAGATTTTTTACCTGCGTATTAAATTAAAAAAAAGGGTAAACGGGCCAGAACTCACAAGATGTACTTAGTACGGGTTGTTTTTGGTGGTAACGACTGCAGGTGCAGTTAGATTGCATTAAGGAAGCCCGAGGTAAAGCTCAATGTTACGTAAATGTCCCAGGCTTTTTTAATTTTTTCTCATCTTCAGAAATTTTGGCGGTGGGAACCTTACCACTATTATTATATATATATATATAGATTCGCGTAGTAACTTATAGGCATAATATATAACACTTATAATATAGATACAGTAGAATCCGATTATTATGACTCCGCCTATATTGACCAACCGCCTATTATGACGTAATTACACAACGAAGTTTGGCTTTCATATAAAATTCATTGTAACAATGTCGGATATAATGACTTCGCTTACAGTGACATGTCGCTTATTATGACCCATTTTTAATCAATTTTGTGCGTTTATTGTGACCGACATGGTACTTTACACCTACGGTAATGTTCGTTGATTCAAATTGAACATCATTTAGTGATATGCTATGTAAAAAAATGTCATCTCAACGTCGTAAAGCATTTACGACTGACAAAAAAGGTGTAAAGCTTATTATTATGCTGATTAGAAAATGGAGAATCAAAGTCATCTCACAATCAAAAAAGTTTCACAAAAATGCTTTGTATGACGTCCGCTTAGTATGACGTGTTTGTCGATTCCCTTCGAAGTCATAATAAACGGATTGTACTGTATATATCTACTAGCTGACCCAGCGAACTTCGTACCGTAAAAAAATAGGGGTTGTCCAGCGGACAAAATTGTGAATCTAAACCATTCTCAGATCCCCTTGAACACACACAAAAAATTTCATCAAAATCGGTCCAGTCGTTTAAGAGAAGTTCAGTGACATACACACTCACAGAAGAATTATATATATAAAGATATTCAATGTTTATTCACAGGAATTCGATTTTAATTTCTTCGCTGATTTCTACCGCAACGTCAAGATGGGCACCCAGACAAACGACTGCTTCTTCTTCGCATACAAATCTGGACTGCATTCGCTGCAAGAGGTACCTTCTCTCTAATTAATTTTGAAATATAAAATTTGGACAAGTAAGAAAAGAGAATTGTGAAGAGTCATAAGTGTTTACAATCAACAATTAAATAATAAACTTCCGTCTTTTGTAATTGAGCTTCTGGTGCTATTGTCTGTGATCCGGGGCACTGATGTGCAGACGCTTGTGTAGAAATAGTTCATTTTACACCGTGAGGAGAAAGTGACCGATTACCAACGGGGTCTAGTTTGAAGCCCGATGAGCAGCCAAGGGCCTTAATACATCTAAGTTGGGAATAGTAATTTCTTTAGAGGGATAAATAATGCTTTATGCTATACCTGCAAGGAATTAAATGACAAGTTCTTAAATTGTAAATTACCTATATTAAAGTTGCTACAGTTAGTAAACTTTTGCATGGAGGCTTTATATTGGATTCCTGATTAAAGGTTCTCAATGACGGCTTAGGTAGTTTCTTTTAATCCTGGTGGTGTCAATAAATCTTCATTATCAGTTATATACGCCGTCTCAAGTAGATAGGAAAACAAAATAAAAACTCAGTTAAAATAATCAGAGCGCTTTTGACTTTTTTCAAAATTATTATAAAGCAAACAGTATAATGTTAAAAAAAGGTTGCAGTCTGAAAAATCATACTGACCACTTTACGGAACATAAATAAAAAAAACAGCACGGTAACAATGAAATTCCATAGAATTTTCTGCCCGCTCATCGCGTTAAAAATGGATTTCCATACACTTTCCAGCCTACTTAGTAGTATAAAGTACAACAGTAATGAGGTCCTTTGTGCTTCATTTTTAAAACAATAATAAAGCACTTTCAGAGCAGGTATATTATAAATTAATTCGCTAATTCTGCCCCTCGCATATTATTCCTGACATCCTGTCAAGATGTGCAATATATAAAAATAAAACTGAATAGTGATAACCTAACTTTTTGTGTTATTAACACCACTGGTGTTATTGGCGTCCAACTCGGGTTTAAGAAGAAAATATTATACAATATTTTTGAGTAAGCCATGCCTTACAACAGCGTGTTACGATTTTGTAGTAATTACAATCCTTAGTGGTGGTCTTGATCAGGTGTTCGATATGGACGAAGCGCGCGCCAACCTGTCTGGCGCGCCGTGGTACGTGGGCTGGAGCACGTGCTACAGCGAGGAGAGCCGGCAACTGCGCGCCTTCTACCGGCGGCCATACTTCCTGCCGCGCACCGCCGAGAGCGACACGCTGGATTGGCTGTTCATGGGCGGCCCGGGCCAGGGCGCGCACATGCACGTCAGTATATACACAACACACACGCTCACAACACCGTGGTACGCGTGCAACAGCGAAGAGAGTTGGCAACTGCGCGCCTTCTACCGTCGGCCATACTTCCTGCCGCGCACCGCCGAGAGCGACACGCTGGATTGGCTGTTCATGGGCGGCCCGGGCCAGGGCGCGCACATGCACGTCAGTATATACACAACACACACGCTCACAACACCGTGGTACGCGTGCAACAGCGAAGAGAGTTGGCAACTGCGCGCCTTCTACCGTCGGCCATACTTCCTGCCGCGCACCGCCCAGAGCGACACGCTGGATTGGCTGTTCATGGGCGGCCCGGGCCAGGGCGCGCACATGCACGTCAGTATATACACAACACACACGCTCACAACACCGTGGTACGCGTGCAACAGCGAAGAGAGTTGGCAACTGCGCGCCTTCTACCGTCGGCCATACTTCCTGCCGCGCACCGCCGAGAGCGACACGCTGGACTGGCTGTTCATGGGCGGCCCGGGCCAGGGCGCGCACATGCACGTCAGTATATACACAACACACACGCTCACAACACCGTGGTACGCGTGCAACAGCGAAGAGAGTTGGCAACTGCGCGCCTTCTACCGTCGGCCATACTTCCTGCCGCGCACCGCCCAGAGCGACACGCTGGATTGGCTGTTCATGGGCGGCCCGGGCCAGGGCGCGCACATGCACGTCAGTATATACACATCACACACACACACGCGCACAACACCGTGGTACGCGTGTTACAGCGAGGAGAGTCGGCAACTGCGCGCCTTCTACCGATGACCATACTTCCTGCCGCGCACCGCCGAAAGCGACACGCTGGACTGGCTGTTCATGAGCGGGCCAGGCCAGGGCGCGCATATGCACGTCGTTATATACACATCACAGACACACACACGCACAACACCGTGGTACGCCTGCTACAGCGAGGTTCATGGGCGGGCCAGGCCAGGGCGCGCACATGCACGTCGTTATATACACATCACAGACACACACACGCACAACACCGTGGTACGCCTGCTACAGCGAGGTTCATGGGCGGGCCAGGCCAGGGCGCGCACATGCACGTCGTTATATACACATCACAGACACACACACGCACAACACCGTGGTACGCCTGCTACAGCGAGGTTCATGGACGGGCCAGGCCAGGCCAGGCAAGTAAAATCTATATATATATATATATGTATAGACCACAGAAATGGAGAATGGAATGAGCAATAACATTGAATGTATGAAAGAGTTATTTTAAATAACACGCACCAATTAGCCTAGCCCCAAAGTAAGCACTATTAGGCTGTGTTATCTAATTATGAAATACTAGGGTTACATAAAAATAGGTACATTATTTAAAATGATATACACGTTATAATTTTCATTATTTTTAAAGCATGTAACTGCTTGATGTTTAAATCTAAAGAAAATATAACTAGAAAAAATTCCACGCGGACCAGGCAGCAGACGGGACTCAAACCCGCACCCTTCGCAATCCGGGCGAATGCACTGACCAATTATGCTACCGCGGCCCTCACGGACCGCGTCGAAATTCTTCTAGCCATTCTTAAGTGTTGTGTATTTTACGTGGGTAATCAGGGATTAATATAATTACGTAGTGCGGGCTGCGCCCCGCGCGTATTCCTGCGATTAAACAGTGTGCAACAGACTAGCGAGTTTGATTGACGTGCTTCCCCTATCTTCATATATTACACGTGGCGACGAGCGAACCCACAATAATACCACAAAATGGCGTCGGGACTATCTTTTGGTGTGCTTTCCACATTTGATCATCTCACACAGGAGTGGAATAGTTACAAATCTCGATTATGTCAGTGGTTCATTGCAAATGACATAACCGCTGAGACCGACAAATCGGCCATTAAAAGAAGAGCGATTCTTTTAACGTCGTTGAGTGAATCGACATTCAAGCTCGCAAGTGACTTGGCGTTACCCGACAAAGTAGAAGAAATAAATTATGAGGCGATCGTAAAACTGCTCGATGATCATTTTACACCTAAAAGGTTCGGGTTTGCGGAGAGATCGTTATTTTATTCTGCATCACAACGTCAAGGGGAAAGTCACACTCAATGGGCAGCCAGGATTAGAGGCCTAGCAGCTCACTGTGCATTCAAAAATTTGGAAGAGGCCTTGCTGGACAAGTTTATTATGGGCATGGCAGCAGGACACGAGCGGGACAAGTTATTCGCGCAGGACCAGCGGGAGCTGACCCTAGCGAAAGCCATCGACCTAGCGGAGAGCGTGCGCTGTGCGCGCCAGGCTTCGTCGCTGGCGGGGCCGGGGCCTGGCGCGAGCGGCCTCGGCGCGAGCCACCCGGACGGCGTGTTCAACATTTCCAAGAGGGAAAAGTGCAGTGTGTGCGGATTTACTAATCATAAAGCTAATCAGTGTCGTTTCAAAAATTATAAATGTAAAAAGTGTTATAATAAAGGTCATTTACGCAAAATGTGCCCTAACGGTTCTAAAGTTAAGTTAGTGAGTGAAGGTACCGAGGACGACGGTGACGACGGTGAGTCATTTTTTAACATTCGATGCGAAAAAGGGCGGCCGATGACGGAGAGCGTGTCTGTCGGTGGGTTGTTTTTGGAGTTCGAAATCGATAGTGGTTCGGCAGTAAGTGTTATATCTGAAAATACATATATATCGAATTTTAAGCAGGTACCGTTATCAACCACCAACAAAAAATTATTTAGTTACACTGGCCAAAAGATCGAAACGATTGGAGTTGTTTTGTTGCCGGTATCGTATAGTGGGCGCACGCGCACATTGGATGTATACGTGGTTCGCGCGGACGGCCCGCCGCCGCTCGGTCGCGATTTTATTCGTAAGTTCGAGTTGGAGCTTGCGCCCGCACCGCTGCCGCCAGCGCCGTCAGGACACGTGCACTCAATATGCGCGGCTGAGCGGCCGGCGGCCTTAGAATGCAGTTCTACGATACGTAAACAATTGGTTAGCATGTTTCCTAAGGTTTTCTCAGGTGAACTCGGATCGTTTAATAAGTATACAGTTCATTTACGGTTGAAACCGGATGCAAAACCGGTATTCTTTAAAGCGAGACCAGTTCCGTATGCGCTGCGAGAAAAAATAGACATTGAAATCGATAGATTATTGTCATTGGGTATTATAAAACCGGCTGAATATTCTGAGTATGCTTCACCGATCGTGCCCGTTTTGAAAAAGGATGGTAGCATCCGACTTTGTGCAGATTATTCAGTTACAATTAATAAACAATTAATCGTCGATCAATATCCCTTACCGACGGTTAATGATTTATTAAGCAAATTACACGGGGGCGAACTATTCAGTAAAATTGATTTATCCATGGCATACAATCAATTTGTTCTTGATGAAAGATCACAAAGCTTAACCTGCATCAACACGCACCGCGGCCTCTTTAAATTCACTCGCTTAGTGTTCGGATTGTCGAGCGCACCCGCTATTTTTCAAAGGGCAATGGAATGCCTCTTATCGGGTATCGATGGTATAATATTCCTACTTGACGATATTTTGATCAGCGGGTCCCCAGAAAAGCATAGACAAAGATTAATTGCAGTATTACAACGCTTACACGATGCGGGGTTAACAGTTCAGATGAGTAAGTGCGATTTTTTTAAAAATCAAAATTCCTATCTCGGGCATATTATTGATAAACATGGGGTTAGGAAATCGCCCGACAAAGTTAAAGCCATTCAGCTAGCCCCGAAACCAACAAATGTGTCGCAGTTGCAATCTTTTCTAGGCCTCACTAATTATTACCGGAATTTTGTGCCGAACGCATCGTCTGTATTAAGTCCATTATATAATTTATTAAATAAAAATTCTAAGTGGGAATGGACACCAATGCATGACGAGGCGTTTAATAAAATAAAAAATATATTGGCGTCCGATAAAACACTAGCGCATTTCGACCCGCGGGCAAAGTTGATTTTAACTGTGGATGCCTCGCCGACAGGGCTAGGTGCCGTGTTGTCGCAGGTGGGTTGTGACGGTCAAGAGAGACCAATTTCGTATGCGTCCCGAACGCTGACGCCAGCTGAAAAAGGTTACGCTCAAATTCAAAAAGAAGCAACGGCTATTATTTTCGGGGTTAGGCGGTTCCACCAGTACCTATATGGGCGGGCTGATCCGTTCATACTTCGAACAGATCATAAACCGTTGCTTGTTATATTTGGACCCCATAAGGGCATTCCGGAGGTGTCTGCGAATCGGCTTCAAAGATATGCTATATTCCTCGCAGCTTACAACTATTCAATCGAATATATAAATAGTAAACAAAACAGCGCGGACTATTTATCGCGGGCGTGTGTAAGCAGTGGGGAAGCAGGAGCACGGGACGAGTTCGCGGAGTATGAGGATCGCGCGGCGTATGTTAACTTTCTGGTAGATGGCGACATGCCGGTGACGCTGGTCGACCTGCGCCGCGAGACGGGTCGCGACCCCATTTTGTCAAAAGTTAAAACTTACGTATTGAAGGGTTGGCCAAGAAAAGTAAACGAATTAAATTTAAAACCTTATTTTAACTGTCGCTCTCAACTATCATATGAAAATGGTATATTTATGCGCGGGCATAAGGTTGTTATTCCGTCTACTTTACAAGATCAGCTTTGTAAAGAACTGCATAGTTCCCATTTCGGCATTGTAAAAATTAAGGCGTCGGCTCGAAAGCGGCTGTGGTTTCCGGGCGTAGATGCGGCCCTGGAGCAGCTGGCGGGCGCGTGCGGCGTGTGCGGCCGCCTGCGTCCCGCCCCGCCGCGCGTCCCGCTGGCTGCCTGGCCGCCGCCGCCGCGACCGTTCCATAGGATACATGTCGATTTCTTAGGCCCGATTCATAATCAAATGTTTTTTATTATCGTAGACGCTTACAGCAAATGGGTTGAGTGCTACGATGTCACTTCGAGTTATAGTTCAATGGTGGTAATAAATAAACTATGCGATTTTATGTCACGTTTTGGAATTCCGCACACGTTGGTGAGTGATAACGGTACTTCGTTTACGTCACAAGAATTCGATATTTTTTGCAATTTAAACGGAATTAAACATGTACTGTCCCCTGCGTATCACCCGGCCAGTAACGGACAAGCGGAGAGTTTTGTCAAAATAGTAAAAAATGGACTCAGGGGTATTATTCTAGAGGGAGGCAATAAAAAAAATATGCATAACAGAATTGCAAAATTTTTATTTGACTATAGGAACTCGAAAAACAGTACCACCGACAGATCTCCCGCGGAAATTGTCTTCGGACGCTCCTTGCGTTCGCGGTTGGATTTAATAGACCCGACCAGGCCGTCACCTTCGTCCACGGAACTCATGCAAACCGTCGAATCCAACCAGTTCTTACAGGCTAAATACTATAAAGGAAAAAAAAGAGGGCCGTTCAAAGAAAATGATACTGTATGGATCATTAAAAACATTAATATGAAAAAAATTTGCTGGATTGAGGGAATCATTAAAAAGGAAATCGGTAAAGTAATGTACGTAGTTTACATTCCTCAGCTGAAGTGTGAAGTTAAAAGACACATAAATCAAATAAGACCGAGATGTTTCTCGCCGTCGATCGACGACGAGTACGGTAACTGGGATCCTGACGTCGTCGTGCCGGACACGCCACCCCCGCCGCCGCAGCCCGCGGCCGCCGCTGCCCAGCCGGCGCGGGAGGGAGGAAGTTTGGACCGCGAACCGAGCCAGGAAGCGGCCGAGTTCCCGCCGTCGCCGACGACGCCGCCGTCAATACCAGCTCCGAGACGTCGAGCAATTAGTCCGATTTTCTCTACACCGATAGCCGGTCATAGTGATGATGATACGGAACTTTAAATTAATAATAGGTACCCCTTATTGTTCTCTTAGTTATGTTTATTTATTAAGTACCTTTTTGTTCACTTAATTATTTTATAGTTTATTAATATTTCTTAAGCTAACGGGGAGGGTTGTTGTGTATTTTACGTGGGTAATCAGGGATTAATATAATTACGTAGTGCGGGCTGCGCCCCGCGCGTATTCCTGCGATTAAACAGTGTGCAACAGACTAGCGAGTTTGATTGACGTGCTTCCCCTATCTTCATATATTACATTAAGCTGCAAGGCAGCGCCATCTCTTCGCATTATAGGTAACCCACAATGATATACACGACTTAGTCACGGTAATAATATAATTTAGTTGCGCGTGACATGCTCATGTTCATCATACAAAATTTGCCCGACCGATTTTCGAACCCAGAACTTCTTCACATTGCACTCCATCATGGAAGTCGTCAATTTATAGAAAATGGACTGAGCAGTACATAATAAATCTATGCAAACCAAGTCTGACTCATGATCGCTTTGTCTCTCGCACTTAAATGCCAGTATTTATTTTATAAACTAACTAAGTGTAAATAAACGGAGTTGCATGAGTACGCCCGTATTCGTTGAGTTCCAACTAGAACGTGGGTGCAGGGTTGTTTTACCCGTGTTCTAGTACCCGGAAACAATGTAATTATTACTTCGGATGCCCGAATTCGAGTAATATCTTTCGTGCACCGTGCTAACGACTAAATGTAATTGCTACATTATTATTTACCTACATCAATGATTTAAAACCTTTATTTAAGATTCTGAAACAGTTAGCTTATTGCCAACAGTAAAGCACCCGTTTAGAATATGTTATCATGTCTTTTTTTAATTATGACTTTGGATGTTTTAATGTTGGCGATAAATTAACTGTTTTAGAATCTTTAATAGGGTTTTTAAAGCATGGGTGTAAATAAAAAAAAACATTATTACAACCAAATTATAATGTTGTACTAAATTACATAATAACACTCCTTCGCTTCTTAAATCCCTTCCACGCCAAGGGGATACTAATAAGACAGCCACAATTTTCACTGCTCGATGATTGGTATCATGAATTTCAAAAAAAGAACATTGTCATTCACGCGCGTTTCACTACCACAGCGCCGAAACTTTTCATGAATTTTAAGTTCCTAGAACGCCGCCCAGAATCTTTTATAGAGGATTCATATCATTAGGGTAGATAAAGTCTTGTATGCAATGCAACTGTTATAATTTGGTATTAAGACACTCAAGTGATACTATTATCATTATCATACGAGGTGAAGCTTTAATACCGCACATTATATAACATAAATATTAATGTATGGCAGGTGGACTCGGTGCGGCACAAGTCGTGGCAGGCGCAGGTGCGCGGGCGCAAGCAGTGGCAGCTGGCGCCGCCGCCCGAGTGTCTGTACGCCTGCGAGCGAATACAGTTCACCGTCGAACCAGGAGAGATACGTACGTGATAATTAAACAATATGAAATGTCACATATCAAACTCAGACTCCTCTTTCCCAGTGGGCACTTTGGGCAAGTGCCCAGGGCCCGGCGATCGACCCCCCCCCCCCCTCAGATCAAATACAAAGTCCCTAGTACCCAAAAACGTATATGATTCGATGAAATCGATCCTCAATGACTGACTACAATACCAACTTACTAGCGTTTACATAAGCGAAGCTATTCTAGTGTCGCCCAAAAATTAGCCTTTCCGACTTCAGCATGCTTACATAAATTATGGTGTACTAAGTACATACACATTTTAAAGAAAAATCATCAGTAGTACACTCATCAGAATGACTTGCTCCATTTCAAGTCATAATCCACATCAAAGTCATAGGGGCCCCATTATCCTAATATGCCCAGGGCCTCCAATAGGTTAAAGACGGCCCTGATCACGCCAAAGTGGCCTCGTAGGCAATTCTTTTTTAAACAGGGCTACGTTCCTTCATATAAACGGGCGGCTCGTAGCGTGGTTGCTGTCTGCTGCAAGCCGTTCGTGTATATGAACCTTTACTTCGGCTCGGGTCGGCGTAATTTTTCATTCAAATGTATGAATCAACATAAAACTTGCAAATCGTAAGTGCCACTCCTTCGTTGCCCTAGGCCTACGCACGTCTAAATCCGGCCCTGAAGTTAGGTATACAAATTCCTCGGAGAATACTCGTGTTCCCGAAATTATCGATAAATATTTATAACTTGATTTCATTGCTTTTATGTTTCAGTGGTGGTAGATACAAACCGCTGGTACCACAAGACGAACGTGCTTCCTGGAGACCTCAGCATCACCATTGGCGCTGAATATGACTAACTTCTGGTGTATCGCTCGACCTTTACTTTGTTTTATTAAATAAATTATAAGATAACGCAAAGTCGTGATTTGTTCAAAGCCTAAAATAACTAAAAATCGTTATTGGACGTCTCTTAATGCAGAGGCCCAATCACGAACTTGACAAGTCCGTAATCGTATTGTCATATTTAGTATGGAAATAGCCAGTTGGTTCCTACTTCCGCTAGGGGCTCTGCTTAGTTTTCATAGAAACTTTGATGATGCTATTCGATTACAGTACCCCAAGCACGAACCATTATCGAATTCGAATAGCTTGCAAACCGTCAAATGTCAATGTCAAATTTTGTATGGAAACTTGAATGACATTTCGGATTCGCAAACTATTCTATTTGAAAGAAAGAAATAAATTTTATTGACCATAACTAAACTAATATTAACAGTATTGTTAACCTAATTAAAAACAATAAAAAATATATAATTTTTTGCTCAGGTCCCTGCCTCAGCTTGATACTTCGATAATGGTTCGTGCTAGGGGTACAGGGCTGTCAAAGTTCGTGCCTCAGCTGTAAATTTTATTACTTTTTAGCAAGTGAATAAAGTTAAGCAATACATATTGAAGTTTTACCGAATAGAAAAAATATATGTATTTTTTTTAATAAAACCAACTTTTAATGCTACGAAAAACCTTTATTACCGTAATTATACACTCTACTACATGCGGAACTTTACATTTTCACATCGATATTCATTGTAATAATACGTAGTTATATAATTTATTGAACATCTACTGGAATGGCGCTGATCCTACAATTTATTAATTATATAGATTTTTTCAATAACAATACAGAGAGCCTCGGGAATTCATGGAAATCTACACGAAATTTAAGTACATCATCATTGGAACATTAAAAAAGGGATTACTTTAAAAAATACAAAAAGCTTACCGCTCACACGCATATCTATCTTCGTCTCTGAATAATATAAAAAGCACTAAGTTTAGCTACGAAAATAAAAAAAAATACATAAACAAAGTTAAATATTGGGACACATAACTTTTTAGCAACTACATATGTAGTCATTCTTGTTTGGAATAAAATATTACATTTCGCTTACAAGTAAGAATAGTAGATACAATTATAATATAGATCCCTAATTTGACGACAAATTGAGAATCGTATCTAGCTGCTAATAAGGTGGAATTTGGTACAATTCCACGTTATATAGTATGGATTAAAGTGGAATTGTTGTTGAAAAAGTGTAGAACTGATTTTGACCCCGTTTTGTTTACTCTTCGCCCTGGCCCGCAGAGTCGAGGATGATTTCGAAGGAAAACGGCTGGAAAAGGTAACCTTCACCGGCGTAGAACTTGCTCTGGAATTCGACCCTGTAGGAAAAAATATTGGTAAACACTACTGTTTACGCCACTTATAGAATAAAATATTAAACGAGAACTAAAAATCAATACATTTTTGATGATGACATTTCACACTTGCAATCTATTCGAATTCGATATTGGTTCTTGCTAAGGGTACTGATGATCGCAAACAAAGGGTTCACCGTTATATATACAGGGCGTCCCACGGGTTTGTCAAACGGAGGGAAAGTATGTTAAATATTGAAGATAGGATATACTACTGAAAGAAGACATCATATAATTTTTAGTCATAACTAGAACTGCATTCATGGATTTTTTTAAATCGCCTGTTGCAACTAGGAATCAAACAGTGAAATTTGAAAAAAAAAACATGTCATATTTTATGATAACCATCGAAACGGTTAATCATAAGGATTACTATTTCTTAAATAACACAGCATTTTAAATGAAAGAATAATCACGAAATCTGTATTTTTTTAATGATTGAACATAAACTAGAATTTCGGCGGATATCATAAAATACACGTATTTTTTTGTTTCACATTTCACGAGCTTGACTCCCGGTTGTGGTAGGCGATTTTTTAAAAACAGTGTATGCAGTTCTTCTTATTATCAAAAATAAAATGCTGTCTTCTTTTAACAAAATTTCCTATCTTCAATATTTAACATACTTTCCCTCCGTGTGACAAACCCGTAGGACACCCTGTATATATAACTATATATCCATATGCTAAATGATGTAATAGACGGTAACTTCAGAAGTATCTCTGAAGTCATTTTTCAACATGACGACTCTGTATATAAAAAAACAGCCCTTGCTAAGTTTCTTGTCGGTTCTTCTCAGTACAAGGTCTCCCGCCGTAGATTTGCGAACCGATGGCGTAGCTTCTTGACCTTCATAAGTGCTTGTAACACCCTTAACTGAATAAATAATTTTGATTGATTGAGTGATTGAATAATATATCTCACCAGTGCAGTCGCAGCGTGTGCAGGAAAGCGGACAGCCCCTCCATGAGCACCAGGATGGACACCGATATGGCTGCCCAGCCCGCGAATACCACGTACAGAACGATGCCACCATCGTAACCTTTCCGCATTAGACCTGGTGGTTATAAGAGGGTAGAGTGAAAAAACAATATCGAATAAAACTATATAGTAGTGCAACAAGGCTTATGCGTTATGAGCATAGAGGTATAAGAATGGAGCGGGGAAGGCGGCTCTAAAAGTGTCCGTCTAGTAGAAAGAGAGAGAAGATGAGAGAACGCTAGCTATCTCTCTCTCTTATTACGCATGGCATCCAATGGCATCACATCGAAATAGTAAGATGCTTACGGTTTCCAATGCGCATGCGCGGTTAGAGAGAGAAAGCTAGCGGTCTCTCATCTTCTTTCTCTTTCTATTAAAGGGATACTTCCCCTTGTAGTAGATTATGTATCTCCCCTATTCTATTCTTATACCTCTATGAATATGAGTGTGGCGAAAATTGGAACAGATGCCGCGCCGTCTTTGTAAACGTCATATCTTTTTCCATTTAAGTTGATAGCGGCGCCCTCCCTGAACTGTCACTTATATTCATAGAGATCCTTGTCGCACTATAATACCGATTTGACGGTTCATCAGCCCCCCTAGCATTAGTACCGCTATATGATTTAATGCTCATTTATATCATGCTCAATTGTAAAACTAGTATGGAGTTTGACAGTTAGACACGATAAAAAACATGATATAATGTAAATTGTGGTGCTCATGCTACGGGGACTGGTAGTTCAAAATAGCAAGATTGTATGTTTCATAATATATTTATTGTCCATAATAATTAAGCAAATTTTATTCAACAAGTTATTTAATAAATCATAAAACGAACATAACGAAATTCCTGATTTATCTAATGGAGTTGTCAGTTCTGTATGGAATGCGTAAAATATACCACTCAAAATCAACAAAGATCAAATTTCAAGACCCTTTTATTAATATTAAGATAGATTTCTTGTTAATTTAAGGACCAAAGTGGCATCAATTTACTGGCCAGTATTTGTTGACCTCGGCCAGTACGTACCTTTCCTGAACAACATGTTCCAGGCGACCTCGGTCAGTACATACCTTTCTTGCGCAGCATGCTCCAGGCAACCTCGGCCAGTATGTACCTTTCCTGAGCAGCATGTTCCAGGCGACCTCGGCCAGTACGTACCTTTCCTGAGCAACATGTTCCAGGCGACCTCGGCCAGTACGTACCTTTCCTGAGCAACATGTTCCAGGCGACCTCGGTCAGTACGTACCTTTCCTGAGCAGCATGTTCCAGGCGACCTCGGTCAGTACGTACCTTTCCTGAGCAGCATGTTCCAGGCGACCTCGGCCAGTACGTACCTTTCCTGAGCAACATGTTCCAGGCGACCTCGGTCAGTACGTACCTTTCCTGAGCAACATGTTCCAGGCGACCTCGGCCAGTTGCGCATGGGCCAGCGACAGGGCCCACAGACGCAGGTACGAAGCCGTGTGAGAGATGCTGCCTAGCACGTACTCGATAGTGTGGATGGCCTGTCGATATCATAATATTACTTCAAAAAAGCCCACTGCCCGCTTTCTGCTTACCAGCGCTCATATCTCGTTTTCATGCTACGGGGGCTGAGTGACGTAGTTTATAATAGAACAAAGTTTATCAAATTATTTTCAGAATACTATAAACTTTGCTTGGCACGGGCGAAATTTATTTAAACTCGATAAAATATAGCCTATACGTTACTCAGCCCCCGTAGCGTGATAACATAAAGCTTTTTACACTCAACTATCGGTAAATTACTTTACCATTTATTATATCATTTTGGTGGTCATAATAGACGAGCTGAAGTAACTTAGCTTTCGAATCGTGAACATTTTTTTGAAATCGGCCCATTACATATTAGTTTGTATGTTACAAAAAAAAATCTTTTCCGTTTATAATATTAGCAGAAACTAACTGTGCCCTGAGATTTCAATCGCATCTTTTTGAGGAAAAGGGTTAGTGAATAAGACCCTTAAGTATACTAGATAGCAACGAATCAGAAATGATATGGCAGCTTTACTAACAAAAGGACGCTCAAACATAGTTCCAAACTCATACAACTAACCTTAAATACTAACGCGACACGCACACAGACAAAACAAATTAATTTGACAAATCAAATAATTGCAAATGAATTCTCGGCTTTCCATTCATTGGGCAAGATAATGTATAACGGAAATCCCAACCAATCTCATACTCAGCGAGTTGATCGCATTTTGACACCCCACCCACTTGAGAGTCCGCCAGAAGGCGTATCAAAGTAAACAAGGCCTGCGTGCATATAAATCTACACAAATCCAAAAAATCGTTTTGAAAATCTTTTAAGTGATCCAAGTTTATCCTGATTCTTTAATAATTAATACTAATGTGTGTAGTTTTTTTTTCCAAGAAAAGCAGTGCCGAAAATTTTTTGGCAGTTTTCTGATTGATAAGTCTTCATAGTGCTTCGTAACAGTAAAATTTCAAGCGACTGGTTTACAAATGTGCATATTCATACAAACGTGAGGAAAAAGTTGAATAAAGTTAGGGAATCGCAAAAACATAGTTTGGTTTTGTGTTATTTATATTAATTCGTATTTTCAGCAATTTGAAAATCCGAATTAAAAAAGAGAATCTGAGTAAAAAGAAACGTTATTATTTAGACGCAATTTGTCATTGACTGAGAGATGACAGCTAATACTATTGGTTTAAGTTCATTTACTTAATTGTGATTGGTTGTAGTATTGAATGGCATTTTTTTGTGTTACAAGCGGATAATAAACTCCATTTAAATTTTTGAGTCATTCGACGTATTTTTCTACACATACATACATGATAATACTTGAGGTACAAAATTGGACAGAGTTGTATAGAGAAGAGAATGGATCTTTCGAACTAACTTCTTATTTTGAATATGAAACTCCATGGGCGTACAAACGGCCGTCATACTTTGCCGCTACTGTAGTCAGTATATTGTAATGAATAAAAAAACCGGCCATGTGCGAGTCGGACTCGCGCACTGACGGTTCCGTACAAACTCAATTTAATACCTCTACGCGTTCATGAGCAAAAGCGGTAGTAACTTTAAAATTTTCAAAAATATCTTTTATTTTATGATGTAACTAGAAATTTGCGTTTTCGCAATTTTTACTTTATCTGTAACCATAAGACGTTACTTCGTACCAAATTTTAAGATTCTAAGTTCACGGGAAGTACCCTGTAGGTTTTAATTCCCGTGCGAGTTTCGAAAATTTTCGGCGTAAACGGCTGTATCTTTTGATGGCTTTGGCTTAGAAGTTTGATTTTTTCACAGCTCCAAGGGACAGTAGACATGAGTATTTTTTTATTTATTTTTTATTTATTAATTTATAGTCAGGCAACGTAGGCCCATAGATACATACCTTAAAGTTTAACATATATACAGATATAAAACATAGTTAAAAACTTATTGAACACGTATTGACGGCGATGTGTGACGCAGAATGGTGTCCGGTATCCGGCCTCGGAATCTGTCATCATCATCAGCCTATTAATGTCCCCACTGCTGGGGCACAGGCTTCCCTATGGATGGAATAGGGAGATTGGGCCATGACCCACCACGCGGGCCCAGTGCGGGTTGGTGGGTGCTAACGGAATCTGTATTAGATATGAATTTCAGTTTGATACCTCCACGCGTTCCTATGAAAAACGGTCTTAACAGACGGACGAACGGACAACATAGTGATCTTATAAGGGTTCCGTTTTTTCCCTTTTGAGGTACGGAACCCTAAAAAGTAATGCAGACCTGATGGATGAAGACTTCGGTGATGTCCTCGTCGTGGTGCTGCGCAGGGATGGGCGCTCCGCCCGCCGCTCCGTTCTCCGCGTTACCTTCGATGGTCTGATGACCTTGTTGCTGAAAATAAATAGTAAATAAAAATTTTGGTGGAGGAAGGGAGAAGAGCTCGATGGTGCAATTGGTTAGCGCGTTCGGTTGCGATTGTTATTGTTGATGTTAAGCGACTTTCGCAGTGGAACGGTGACCAAAAATTTACTATATCCAGCTCATCCGTGCTTCGGAAAGCACGTGCTCCGTTGGTGCAGGCTGTATCTGCAGTTATTTTTATCTTACTGCATTTAACTGCTACATTAGTACTGCTAATAACAAATTAGTGTAATATGTGCGTTTTTAAAAGATTCTTATCACCATAATGACAAACTTTGATAAGAACTTACATAGTTACTTTACTTACATAGTACATTCAGAAAGAAGACTGTATACTTAGTAAGATTTTAATGACTTGTACAAATTCTTACCATCAACTATCCGATTTTAAAATTGGCATGGAAAATAAAACAATACTATGTTACAACTATATCGTATCTATATAAAAAATACATCCAATCCAATTGGATATAAAACGTGTAAGTATTTTTTAATTATTATTAATGAATCGAAAAAAAGCCTTAGTTCAGTTAGTTTCCGTACTTTGGTACGTGGCGCCAGCAACGATAGTCTTGTATCTATTATTAATTATTATTTTTGCAGTGAAAGCTATATTCACCAGTGAATTTATTTATTATTACTTGTTTCATATATTTTTTTTATATAAAGAGTTCATAATATCGATCTAATCATTAAAAAACGATTGAAAGTAGTAACCCTATTGACTCTGCTCATCTCTTTCACTCGTCGAGTTCGCGCGACCAATCCCGAGTCGACCCGGTTCGTTCGCTTCGTCACGTACGTCAGTCGAGAGTCGATTAGTCGTCGTCCGATAGCTTCGACTCCAGTCGAATGATATAAAGCGCAGTCGACTTAGTCGAATGATTAGTATTATTCGAAGTCGCGTATCGCTGTTATTATATACTCACAGCGCGCTGCTTCTGCTCCTTCATGATGAAGTATGGTTTACCGAACAGCATCACGGGGACGCACATCAATGCCATGATGACGAAGAACTGCAAAAAAACATACAGTATTAAAAAAATAGTAAAACAATATTGTGTATTCGCTAACTTCTTTTGACAGATGGAAGGCAGATGGAAGGATGACAACATGTGTACTCCATATATTACAACAAAAACTGCTATTATATCCGAATTGTATAAAAATCTATAATAAGTTACCACGCTTGATAACGGATCTTAATTTGCCTATTTTTAAAAGAAAGCTTAAAAATTAACGAAATGTTTTTACTCAGTTAGAGAATATTTAGAAACGAAAATTAACTTAGAATAGAATAAATAAAATGACATAAGTCCCTATAAATTTTACAAATTAATTAAGTTTGACATTCACATGCGGCCTGTCGTTGGCAAAATGGACGAACTAAATGAAAATCACCACCAAAGTGTGAATGACTCAGTTTTGTGTGAATAAATAAATTTCATTTCATAACTTACATCATTTCAAGTAATAATCACCGAGCTATTTAGTGATCCACTAATGTTTTATTATAACGAAACCACTAAGATATTTGTTCTGAAAATGAATGATGGATATGCAATTTTATCTTTAGTTACATACTGTAAATGTCATAAAAGTTTTGCGAATAGGCCGGCTGGCCCGGGTACATTGTGTCAGAGAACTCTAGCCGGGTGTTGTCGTCCGTCTTGAACAGCATCATTAAGTAATATAAGTTATTTACAGGATTGTTACCATGTACCTTGTTTTTAGGGAGTTTACGATATTTCGGCACTGTTGCAAGCGCCATGATCACGGAGTAATATCGGAAACTCGATAAAAAAAGGTACATGGTAACAATCCCGTAAATAACTTGAGAAGCTGGCGAACAAAACGGTATAATTACGCATCTGGTCAAACTACTTTTTTTCGACAGTCCGGAGGTTTCGGGCCCGTTGAATTTGAATCTCAAATAATTTTCAATCAAAATCACCTAAAACAGTGTTAAAATTACTAAATTTATAAATTTAAAACCATGCCAAAAGCTCACTGGAGGTATGCCATTCAGTTTTATACAGCTCCTGTAAATTTTAATTTTATGTATTTTTATACCGTTTTATTGGCCAGCTCCAGTTTTTTCTCCCTATTCCATCCACCGGGAAGGCCTGTGCCCCAGCAGTGGGGACATTAATAGGCTGATGATGATGATGATTGGCCAGCTACTCACTTATATTACCATAATGTTAGTGACCATTAAAGTTTAAAACAATATAGCATCATTAAGTTTAATTCACAAGAGGAGCTCGATGGCGCAAGTGGATAGCGCATTCGGCTGCGATCGTTGAGGTTAAGCAACTTTCGCAGTGGTCGGTCATTGGATGGGTGACTAAAAATTTACTATCTTAAGCTCCTCCGTGCTTCGGAAGGCACGTTAAGCCGTTGGTCCCGGCTGCAACTGCAGTCGTTAGCACCCACCAATCCGCACTGGGCCCGCGTGGTGGGTCATGGCCGAATGTCCCTATTCCATCCATAGGGAAGGCCAGTGCCCCAGCAGTGGGGACATTTATAGGCTGATGATGATGATGATGTTTAATGGACATGGTATTGATCATCACCTTCTGCAGCCCGATTTGGCCCGGGTACATAGTGTCGGCACACTCTGGCCGGGTGTTGTCATCAGTCTTGAACAGCATCATGTTGATGAACGTGATAAGAATGGAGGGCGCGCAGTAAGCGCTCGACTGCACTATCTCTGTACAAACAAATAGAACCCTTCATCTCCCTATTCCAAAACGCGGACTAAAAACCCATTATCTCCCTATTCCAAAACGCGGACTAACAATCCATTATCTCCCAATTCCAAAACGCGGACTAAAAACCCATTATCTCCCTATTCCAAAACGCGGACTAACAATCCATTATCTCCCAATTCCAAAACGCGGACTAACAACCCATTATCTCCCTATTCCAAAACGCGGACTAAAAACCCATTATCTCGCTATTCCAAAACGCGGACTAAAAACCCATTATCTCGCTTTCCAAAACGCGGACTAAAGTTAGTCTTGGTTTAAGGGTGCTTTTCTACCAGAGATGTGCTATGCAGCTATGCTGCGAGGATGTTTCAGCTAAGCTACGAAGCTACATGACAGTTTCCACTGATGCTAAGCTACGTAGCGGGGCGAGTAACTGCGCGAGGTACTGTATCAGACTTAGTGAAATATTTGATACACCATAATGCTTCATTTTATTAAACAATGTTTCATGGCTAACGCAGTCGAACGCCTTTTATAAATCGCAAAAAAATGCCATCGTGCTTACTCTCCCATACATCAAAAATGTGTTTGAAAAGTGCAGTTCGAACATCAGTAGTACTTTTGCCTCTAGTGAAACCAAAACTGTTGTAGCTCGAGCTATGCGATGTATCGATAGTAGAGAAGCGGGAAGGAGCGGCGGCAGCGCGGTGCTCTTTATATATTACTCGCGGCCATGTAGCTATATCAGAGCACGCATCCTTCCATATAAAAAATATAGCTTAGTTGAACCCATTTCCACCAGTGCTAGGCTATGTAAACCAATGAATTTGATTGGTGGATATCAAATGCATCCACAGCAACGTAACATAGCACATCCCTGGTGGAAAAGCAGCGTAAACCTTGTGCTGTCTCTGTCTTCTTTTTTTCAGCATCAGTTTAAGACCGGGTTTAACTTTAGTCAATGTTTTGTAATAAGGCTAATTATGACCATAAAAGACCGCATCCAAGGGCACTCGCTTAAGTTAAGGTTAATGCGTAAGTACACTTGGTCGTTAGCCCGCATTTGGGTGCACGAAAGATATTACTAGACTTCGGGCACCCGATGCAATAATTACATTAATTATTTAAGTCACGTTCGGGTACTGGAATATGGGCAAAAGATCCTGTACCCTCATTCTAGTTCGAAAGTACCTCAGTTATGCCAGATTGGGGGAACCGTAAAGACGGGCGTACTCGACTCCGTTCATTTACACTTAATCGTTTGAGTTCAAATGCCATAGGCAATCGTATAAGGGCTGACGACCAAGGGAAATTGAGTCTTTACGTAGTAATACTGCATAAGCATGTGACACGCCCTAAACGTCACGTCACAAGTTTGCATATAATTTGTCATAGGACGGTGACGTCACACTGACATATCCAATCAAAGAGAGTTAGGTCACAGCGGATTTTCCGCTCGAAGAGGAGCGCCAGTCTGGGTACTGGGGAAGCAACCTCCACCTTACAGAAGTCTACAGTAAAATAACACTACCTTTTGGCGGTGTTGTGTTTCTGTCTGTCAGTAAGATTTCAGGGCTCCGCGGGGTAAGAGATTGCGTTCAGGCCGGCAAGGTGAGGATGGCTGAAGCGGACACATCGGTGTGTTGATCGCAATTTTTTCACCCCGCCCAGCTTGATCGCAGTTTGCGTGGAACCACTTTTTTTGGTCATTTCGTATTCTATATTATTTCTTATTCATTGCCTCACCCGGGTCCTGGCTTCCGAAGTGCGGCGGGGTTGATCCGTACGAGACCCACTTGATGAACATGAGCAGCACCATGTAGAAGAACAGTAGCATCAAGAACAAGATCTGTGGGATGAACTCTACGTAGATGCTAATGCGCCGCTTGAAGTAACTGTTGAGAGAGTACAGGTGCTAAATAATAAATAAATATATATTTCCAACACACACCAATTAGCCTAGCCCCAATGTAAGCACTGTAAGGCTTGTGTTATGGGATGCTAGGGTAACGGATAGAATACACATACTGTACAAATATAACTATATTTATAAAGAAATACATATTAAACATCCATGAATGGAGTACAAGTGCTCGTATTCATCACACAAACATCTGCCCCCACCGGGATTCGAACCCGGGACCTCGCGAGTCAGCGACACCATGAAACCCGGCGTACAAACCACTCGGCCACGGAGGTCGTCATAAGCCTTAGACATACCGCCAGTTCCAATAATAGGCATGATGACGGGGTAAGTTAAACGAAATTCTATTAAGGCCGTCAACTAGGTTGTCAAAACAATAATGGCACGCATATTTTCTCATGTCAATCAACCAAAAAATTACAAAGATGAAAAGCGTCAAAGTTCAGTCGTCACTTCTAAGTAAAAATTGTACCAAGAAGTGATGTCATGCGACATTTCAAATCAATATATTTGTGTGATGTTTTGATTTTGTGCATAAAGCAAAAATACGTGTCCAATACTTTTTGATAATCTACCTGATAGACGAAGAAAAAACAGTTACGTTATCGTCCATATTATCCTCCAGTAACGGTCATTTCAATAATTAAACTCCAGTATCAGAGATAGGCCTATTATAGCTTTGTTGCCTATATACGAGTATTTCTATTATTTAGATTTTAATAACAACTGTTTCTAAGACACAGAACCAGATTGTCCTTACTTTTTACTGAAGGTTTCTCTTAGCAACAGTTATTATATATATATCTCCACACCGAGTTCTAGACTCTCCATTCAGTTCCATCTCTCTCCAGAGAGAATAGAGCGCCACAAGACACAGTCACATCTAGTCATCAAAACTATTATTTTTTTCTCTTATTTTACAACCTGTTTCTATAATCAGTTAACCATCAGTAAAAGGATAATTAATCTGCATTAAGAGGTATCCTGATTTTGGTGTACTTACATAGCAAAAGTTATCATTTTAATAAAAAAAATAGAAAATATGTAGGCAACAAAGCTGTAATGGAGAACTCGGCACAAGAACTAAAGCATAGAAAGAGTTTAAATTCGACTACTACATAATATGAGGGGTATACAAAGTTAGTAAAGTCCACATTGCTAAAATATTCAGTAAACGATAAAAAAAAAATTTAATAATTACAGGAAACTATTCTAATGTTAAACATTATTTATATGCAGAATGTAATACATTATGGAAATACAAGTGATCATCACGTTCAGTTCAATACTTTTGAGTAAAACCTTAAGTATAAGATAGACTTTCCCAGTTCCGTTACAAAGTTTTGGACTTTACTAAGTTTGTAACTGTAATATAACAAAAGAGCATTACACCATCAAAGGCGGCCAAGACAGCTGTCAGTGAAATGGAGGAAATGGAGGCAATAGAGCCTTCCTATTGGTCGAAAAGGACTTTACGCAAATTGAAACTCAACTCACTTGGACTTTGCTACGTTTGTTTGTAAAGTAAATTTTAAATTTGAAATAACAGTCGAGATTTCTAGAATTTGTATAAAATTATTATACGGGATAAATATAGATACGGAAATGAACGTGTTGTAATTTAAATCTCACTTTTCAAATTTTGTGGAATTTACCAACTTTGATTGTATACCCCTGATATAGTAGATATGCTATTTCCTATGCACGCACACATTGTCTGTATTGATACAATCTGACATTAGAGTCACGATACACTGCGCGTAAAATGAGCCGTTTTCTTAGTGGAAGTTATTTGAATTGCTCTTTCTAGGCGTGTCTATATAATCATAAAGATAAATATTCCATTAAGCGTGCGGTATGGTTGATATGGGTAAAATACTATGATAAACTTACATGTGATTCCATAGAGACAGACAGACACCGAATAACATGTGGAAGACACCAATAATTATGGAGATCTTCATTTTGTACGCATTCATGAAGATGATCTTGTTAGAATTCGCCAACTGGTGAACAAGTTATATTTTATTAGTATTCTCTGTTCATATTCGACAAAAAGAATATTATTTCGTATGATAATTAAAGGAGGAGCTCGATGGCGCAAGTGGTTAGCGCGTTCGGCTGCGATCGTTGAATTTAAGCAACTTTCGCAGTCGTCGGACATTGGATGGGTGACCAAAAATCTTCTATCTCGAGTTCCTCCGTGCTTCGGAAGGCACGTTAAGCCGTTGGTCCCCGCTGCATCTGCAGTCGTTAGCACCCGCCAATCCGCATTAAGCCCGCATGGTGGGTCATGGCCCAATCTCCCTATTCCATCCATAGGGAAGGCCTGTGTCCCAGCAGTGGGGACATTAATAGGCTGATGATGATGATGATAATTAAAAAATTAAGCATAGTGTAATTTTAAGAGAGGTAGGGCATAGTGGATTTTCCGGTCGAATAGGGTATTTGACAAGTTTAGAAAACGATCTCACGTTATTTACTAATGGATAAGGAGTCCGTAAAAAAGATATTCATTATTCTATTGTGAATTTCAATATAAAAAACTGAATCAAAAATTCTATTTTTAAAGTTGCCGCGAAAATGTTTCTCTGGACATCATGGCCTCTCACTAGTATGTGACGTCACAAGTCTGACATTAAAACAGTATTTGTATAGTTTGATACAATGTAATGTCACTTTGACCGCAACTTTACTAGCGTGTGACGTCATATTAGTCTTGGCCAATCACAGGCGTTTTCGGTCACGCGACCATAGAACAAAATAATCATTTCTGTTCATTGTGATTTTTTAGAAAAGTTATTAATTATTTGTTCTCTTAGAAAAGTAAAATCGCTGTTAACATTCATATTAAATACAGATGCTAACAATTGGCACTTTATTTTTCATACTGTCAAATAGTCTATTGGAGCGTCTGTCTGGGAAAGTAACCTCCATCTTACATAAGAGCACAGTAAAATAACACTACCTTTTGGTAGTGTTGTATCTGTCAGTGAGTAAGGTTCTAGGGCTCCCCGAGGTAGAGGATTGGGTCAGGGTAGGCAACGGCGTGAGGAGCTCGAAGGCGCGGGTAGTTAGCACGTTCGTCTGGGATCGTTGAAGTTAAACAACTTTCGCAGTGGTCGGTTATTGGATGGGTGAACGCACTGGGCCCGCGTGGTGGGTCATGGACCAATCTCCCCATTTCATCCATTAGGAAGGCCTGTGCCCCAGCAGTGGGGACATGAATAAGCAGTAGATGCAGTGTGATTTTGGTATCGCAAACGTCGATTGGCTATGGTGGCCGCTTTCCATTACGCGCGCCATTTGTTTGCCACCATTTTAACAATAAAAAAACAAAACCTGAAAATATAAGAAATTCTTTTAAGATTAAAGCACTAACCTGCCAAACCGGGTCGATCCCCAACGGATAAGGTGTTTGTACATAATCAAGAGAGTCCGGATTCAGTTGCAACAGCGGATTCTCTTGTAATGTGGACAAATCATAGTTGTTGCGCCAACTACTGCCGAATATGTTGAGACTCTTCGAGAATATGTCGTTGTACATGAGACCAGTGTACATGGAGAATAGGCCCATCAGTAATATGATGTAACGACCGCCGAAGAATATGTTCCAGATCTGTGGGAAATCAAAGAGAAAATGTACTTTAATGGAGAAATATCGAAACGATGTTTTCGACAAAACGGTCTTGTGACAAAGGAAGTTTCAGAAAAGGGTACTTACGAACTTTTCAAGAACAAAAATCTATATCTAAACTACCTCCGTGACCGAGTGGTTTGTACGCCGGGTTTCATGGTGTCGCCGACTCAAGAGGGTTCGAATCCCGGTGGAGGCAGATGTTTGAGTGATGAACACGAGCATTTGTACTACTTAATATGTATTTCTATATAAATATACTTATATATGTACTGAATATGTATTCTATCCGTTACCCTAGCATCCCATAACACAAGCCTTACATTGCTTACTTTGGGGCTAGGCTAATTGGTGTGAGTGTATGAAATATTAATTTATTTATATAATTGGTGAAAATATTTGGAGCGTTATTTGCTAAACAATTTTCGTGGAAACTATAACATTAAGATTTTTTCCAGGATAAAAAGTATTCATGTCAATGTAATCCAGGTTAAAAACTAAATGTGTACCAAATTTCATCTTACTTTTTCACGCAAAACTAGGCTAAACTGAAAGGTTTTCCTTTCAGTTTAGCCGATTATTCAGTTTTTCGTCATGAGTACAAACATAAAAACTTGCACATTTACAATATTAGTAGGATAGTATAGTTCCGCCCGGATAGCGGAAGGTGCAGGTTCGAATCCTGTGTGTTGACTGGATAGAAAAGGATTTCCTCAAAAGGACTATAATATACAGTGCAACCAAGAATCTCTTGGCGAAAATGTGGCGAAAATTGGAACTAACAACGCAGTCTTTGTAAACTTGATTTTTTTGTATGTCATTTACGTAAACAGTGGCGCCCTCCCTGAGCTGTCACACACGTTCATAAAGATCTTGGTCGCACTGTACTACGCAATAATAATAATAAAGGCGAACGTTTCGATAATCACCTCGCTGTCAATCTTCTTGGCCTGCAGCGGCTTCTCCTTGTAGCACATCCAGAAGCCAAATATGGCCATGAGGGCTCCATGTCCGAGGTCGCCGAACATCACCGCGAATAGGAACGGGAACGTTATTATGGTGTACGGCGCTGGACAAACAAAACAACAACCAATTACTTACGCGTAATTTTAAAAAACAACACTTTAATAAGGCATCATCATCATCAGCCTATTAATGTCCCCACTGCTGAGGCACAGGCCTTCCCTATGGATGGATTAGTGAGATTTGGCCATGACCCACCACGCGGGCCCAGTGCGGGTTGGTGGGTGCTATGGACTGCAGATGCAGCCGGGACCAACGGCTTAACGTGCCTTGCGAAGCACGGAGGAGTTCGAGATAGTAAATTTTTGGTCACCCATCCATGTCAGACCACTGCGAAAGTTGCTCAACTTCAACGACCGCAGCCGAACGCGCTTACCACTGGCGCCATCGAGCTCCTCTAATAATATATGCCTTATAGATAATACGGCATATAAATAAGTAATAATAAGAAAAGCTCTACGTAGGAGTGGTACGTACACATTCTCCCATCTTGTACACGTTTTCAAGGTCTCGCCTATTCGTTATTGTAAATTGGTGGCCGCACGCGACTTCGTCCGCGTTAACTTTAGTTTTTTGAAAACCCCCCCAGGAACATGATACTTTTCCGGGATAAAAATTATCCTATGTCTCATTCCAGATCATTAACTAATTTTATCAAAATCCGTTCAGAAGGCCTACTCTATTTCGACGAAAAATGAAATTTCGATCGAAATTTCGCACGTTTCTTACTCTATTTCTTTATCATTTCGAAATTTCGTTTGTCCGAAAATAGTCTATCGGTCAAATTCTCCAAGCCTTCTCTAATTCACAATACTTTCGAACGAATAGTTGAATTTGACATACAATTGTCGAAATTTTAACCTCAAATTGACGAAATGAAAAGTGTTACCTTTTCTTTTTCGTTTTGGGATTTTTATTTGAATTAAGTATAAAATGCTTGATATTGATTGTATCAACTCTACAAATTAGTCGGCTAACACTGTCAAAAAAGGTTCTTTCAATGTCATCAAAAATGTAGTCATAAAGTAACATTGTTTCCAAGTAAAAACGTTATTTAAAAAGTAAACATAAAAAGAACTCACAAACATGACTCATTCCATTCGTTCACGAAATCGTTTGTGATTCCGAACTTTATGTGCGTGTTCGAAAATAAAATAGAGTAGAGTCACTGGCGAAATTTCGTTTGAAATTCGTTCGTTAACGAAATTTCGTTCCGGAGAAAGAGAGTAGAGCTCCAGTAGTTATGGCGTGATTAAGTAAGAATCATACAAACTTTCACATTTATAATATTATAGTAGGAAGTAGGATAGGATGACATAGGTACAGTAATGAAGTAACATAATTTGGTAAGTCTCACTATAACTGGCCATCATATTGGCGTACAAACTATTGTTTTGTTATTTCGCAGACGTCTTCATTATCGGTTCAGCAATCAAAGATAAATCTATAAAAATATATTTATAAGTCAATTACTAATGCATAATTTTAATAACAACACTTTGTAGGTCATATCTTTAAAATAAATAAGTAATAATAAGACAATCTCTGTGTAGGAAGGGGCATGTACACCGGTTTTTAAGGTGTCCTCTACTCACAGGTCCTAGGTTCGAATTTACACATTGGGAATTGAAATATTTTGAAAGGAGTTGGAATGAAGATTTTCTACAACAACTCTTCTGTGGTATCGGTAGCTCCGTTTTCTCAGTTATAAACAAAAGATGTAGAGATTGTAACGTGTTAAAAACGTCACTTGATTCTCCTTCGCTCGAAGAGCGAGATAGAAGATTTTTTTTGGTTGTCTCTCTGGTCGTTTTTATCTCGCGCCCATTTTCTGTAATCTGTGCACTTTTGAATAATTATGTTGCTAACTTTATCAAGCAGTAGGCTGAATGGACGTTGTTCTCTTTGCCTACTGGCAAGAGAAAACAAACTTAAGAAAAAAACTGTCACTTTACTTCACGTCACAATTTTATAGAGAGCGAAATGTCTCGCTGCTAATCTTAATGAATTACAAAGTAATTCATACTAATCTTATTATTTTTTAATGGTAAGTGTTTTTCCAAATTCGAAAAGTGTTTTAATTCATATATCTCAATGGTTTACATGAGGATTGATTTTGTTTACAGATGTAACATTTTGCACCTTTTGCGCGGAATGGCGGATGATCGCATTCCAAGCTTGATTTGTTTGTAAAACGGTAAGAACCTTAGAGTTTTCCTTAGATTTACATTTTTTTGTTTTGTTGTGAGCCATGTGCTAATCTGAGGAATGTTTGTTTCAGCGAAAAGCGTTTTTTTTTTATTTGGATATTTTATTCAAATTACGACGTTTCCCATGAGGTGGAGGTGAACCCACGGGATCTAAAAACGGCCATCCCCTACATACTTGCAACACCAGACATATTTAACTCCAAAGATGCAACAAGGTCGGTAATTTCCTAAATTTATAATCGTGTTTCGGCCCCTATATTAAAGGTAACATTTTCACTTACATCTTAGTCTTAGTTTCAAAATTTAGCAGTAATTCTTTCGGACCAGTAATTTTGTACTAAATTGAATATGGATGGATAACCCAAAATGAATATGGATTTGCATTAGGCTCCCCTTGCGATTAATTGTTCAGTGTTCTCTCGGCTAATCATATGGTACAGTCCAGGCGCCCGAATATTCTTTTTTAATTGATTTCGACCTGTCCATTCAAAAATTTATTATTTTTAACTATTACATTTGCCACAATTGCTTTGTATTTTTTCTATTACAAGGTTTAAGGTCCACTTGCAGCAATTTAACTGAAACTCATTTTAACTAAAACTAGATTTAGTCCATACAATAATTTCATATTGACATTGACGTTTTGAAAGTATGGGTATAATCTAGTTTTAGTTTTAGTATCGAGATTAGCCAAATAAGCTGAAAGTGAAATGAACATAAAAATATTTTAAGAAAAGAAGCTAGCCATCCGCCCCGGCTTTGCACGGGTGAACTTTATGGGTGTGTTCCGTAATATATACCAGTATACTGGCCAGTGCTAATGACGTCATGGATCGACGCTATACTGGTGAATTTTTCCGAAATATATAGGCCAGTGCACTGACGTCATAAATCGACGAAATATTAAAAATAGTGCAAATAAAGAAGATTTTTTATTCACCTCATCAATTAAAAGGAGTTCTTTTTGTTCGGATGCCTTTATCGTTCTTTAAATAAAAAAGAAATAAAATTCGAATGCATCTCACGCACGCTCGGTCATACGTCATATTCGTTTTCCCGGTAAAAATATGGTAGCATACAAGTACAATATGGCGTCGGATTCGTGACGTCATTACCACTGACCAGTATACTGATGTAAATTTCGGAATACACCCTATATTAACGCTGTTAAATACTGGTAAAGTTACTCAGGGAAAATATTGCATTCTATACGCGAAAGAATTTCTATTTCCAAAAAGGTCCATCTATATATATAAAACTCAAAGGTGACTGACTGACATAGTGATCTATCATCGCACAGCCCAAACCACTGGACGGATCGGGCTGAAATTTGGCATGCAGGTAGATGTTATGACGTAGGCATCCGCTAAGAAAGGATTTTGATCAATTCTACCCCCAAGGGGATAAAATAGGGAATGAAAGTTTGTATGAAACTTTGTAAATTTTAAACCGATCGGGCTGAGACTTTGCATGCAGGTATAAGAAGAATCATAGATGAATGTCATTGTGTATAATACAAGCCTGAGAACAAAAACTGTATAGTCTACACTTCAGCTCTACACCGAAGCGAAGTGAGGGCGGGCCGCTAGTTGTCCAAATTATTATTTAACATCTTATAAAATGTATGAACACAATAATAAAGCAATAAGTATTAAATAATAATAATGGTTGAATACGTACCAGGGTTGACCTCCCGGTAGGTGGCGACACCGTATGCGTAGATGAGGTTTTGGAAGGCGGACGTGAACTTGTTGGTGCGGTTGTACGTGGGCGGGTCTTCGGCCGTCTCCATACGGTTCAAGATGGGAGGCACCGAGCTTCCGCTGCGTTCCTACACAAGGTATTTTGAATTTATTTTAAGCCTAAAACTGCTAGATTTGTAAATTCTAAGGAAAAAAAAACTAGAAAAACTTTCTCTAGACCAACGGGGATCTCGCTGTTCCACACTTAACAGCGTAAAGGGTATTCGCACGGTTTTTAGGGGATAGTATGCCGTAAGCGCTTGTAAGCCGCGCGGACTGCTTAAAGGCTTCTCCGTTTCGCACCCGTGAGACTTGCGAGAGGCTGAGTGTGAGGTACGTTCGTTGGTGTGCCCCTTAAGGGCACCAACGTCTCATCTCCGACTCGATTGGTTGAATTCTGGCCATCTAACTACCTACATATTATAACTATAGCTACCATAAAACAAAAATCAAAAAGGACCATTTTGTCACATGTTCCGACATGGACCAGCCCGCTCCTGCATACATACTTATTTAATTAGCAGCTAACTTACGGGCGTATTTACCCTGTTTCAGCGTTACTGAACTGGGAGAGGGGTTGAAAATCCCGGGTGGCTTGCCATAGATTCTGATACTAAATATTGGCATGATAGGGAAAAAAACTTGGCCATTCCTGCTTTAAAACCCTCACGGTTTAATTCGCTCGGATATCATATCTTTTCGGTGCGGATCACGACGGCGCAATATAAAGCGTGTTAAGCGTATTATGTTTCGCAATGATCGGTGATGGGATACTCCTATGTCGTTACACTTTTGGTAGAGCGGTCGTGGCCGTTACTTCAGCGTCATCGGCGAATTCAGTGGCAACCTCATCACGGCTGTTTTTTAGCTTTAATTTAGTCGGTTTATCCTATTGGCGCGTGCTCGGATGCCTTCAGCTCTAGCCTGAATGACGAGACACTTGATGGAGGCTGCACCACGGCAAGACCAGAAAGCAAGGAAGCGAGCTTGGACAATCATCGATTATCCTTTATTGTCCAAGCTCTTTAGTTTCTTTCGTTCTTGATGAATAGGAATGTTGGTTCGGATTTCAGTTCATGATATTCCAAGCATTCTTGGGAAAGATGGGCAAAATTTCATCATCTCGAACTAGCTTCCTCGTGATCATTAAGCCGTGGGTCCCGGCTGCATCTGGAATCTTTAGCACCTACCAATTAGTACTGGGCCCGCGTTATGGGTTTTCCTCCCTATTCCTTTAATAGGCTGAATAATTATGGATAATCGATACTGAGAAAATGCGCCCAATATATTGGCTAATGAGACTGTGTCAACTGCTTCTCTGAGTTAGACTTAAAAACGATAGACAAGGTCTGACACATACAAATTTTGCTTCGATCCCAATGTGATCTGTAGTTTTTTTTTCATTGCAACAGGTTGGCGATCCACGTACGCCTGATGTAAATGAGTTACTGTTACTGAGCGGAAGTTATTCAAATTATTACATGTTTGCTCAAAACCTACGAAAAGTCACGCTATATAACTATGTAGCCAAAAAAATTATTTAGATAACAATTTGAGATGATTTTTTTAATTTTATACATATGACATAGATTAACGTTTTGCATTGTCAGTGTCAAGACTATACGGTCCATTATTTTCCGATTAGCCGTGCGAAACAAAACCACACCACACAACACAATGACTGGGTGCTTTAATTGTGAGAATCAAAACAGACAAAGTGTAACATTTAACAGGCTGTAAACGTTTTTATACTATACGCACTCGGAAAGTGCCTTATTAGCCGCGGTAGCATAATGACTGACCGCGACCCTAATGGCAGTGTCGAATTCTTTCTAGTATTTCTTCGGCTGCAAGGCAGCGCCATCTCTTCGCATTGTAGGTAACCCACAATGTCCAACCTTTATTAATTACAAGTATTACACATTTGAAAGAGGAAATAGCATTTGTAGTTATATTTTTATTTTTAAACATTTAACTGCTAATTGTTCATATCTAAAGAAAGTTTTACTAGAAAAAAATCCACGCGGACGGGACTCGAACCCGCACCCTCCGCTATCCGGGCGGTTGCACTAACCATTACGCTACAGCGGCCCTAATGGCCGTGTGGAATTCTTTCTAGAATTTCTTAGGCTGCACCAATATATTTATCATACATCATTATCATACCTATATTTGTAACTTTTCGATAGTAAATTCATTTGAAGTTATAAACACATAATCAAATCTCATAAATATAAGTATAGTATTTTGGTCATCCTCAGAAAAATAGACAGCTCATACACATATAATTTGGTTGGTAGTTCTCAAAATCAGAATTGATAGACCAATTTTTTGGGTACTCACGGTTCCTCGGCGTAGTGCCAGCTGTATGGTCTCCAGGTCCAGAGCGGGCACCCAGCACTCAGCGATGAGGCACTTCTGAGTCACATCCAGGTTGAACAGGTTAAGGGTGTGGTAGATGGCCTTGATCTTGCGCACCTTCACGAACCAGTTCTTTATGTTCTTAGCGGCGGCGACGAGCACCCGATGACGGTGGTCCTGGGTCTGACCTAACACCTGGAGGGAAACCAAACGTTTGTTTTTAGACATAAGAACAAATTTATTAAAGCAACTATTGGTCGCCCACGACTTCGTCCGCGTTAACTTTAGTTTCTTGAGAAGACATAACCTATATGCAATAGACTACAGGCCTGTGGCAAAAAATGATTGGTCATTTGAACCACCAGAAGACCTATTTAGAAAGATAGAAGGAAATTAATTAATAAGATTCAGCACTATGCCGTTATTGGTAAGCTGTCCAACTGAGTGCAGGTGAGAATTCAAAAGTACAAATAGAGGGAGTACATTTTGGTCATATATTTTTGGAAGGCATTCTTACCATCGATAGATCCATGAAAAATAATTAGAAAACACGTAGTGCCGTACAAAAATAGTGCACCACAAAGTCTTGAAAACTTTTGATTTTCCGATGAAATTTATCTGTACTTATGAATTCCCACCTGCACTCAGTTGGACAGCTTACCAGTGACGGCATAGTGATAAATCTTATTAATAAATGTCCTTATTTCTTTTTAAATAGGTCTTCTGGTGGTTCACCTAGTAATTAGTTTCTGTGTTTTTATTATGTGTATATTTTATTATTATAACCATTTTGTTTACGATATTCATGCTGTGAAGGCTAATAAAATGATTTTCTTTCTTTATATGCGTACCAAATTTCAACCATACCCGTTCAGTAGTTTTTACATGATTGTGTAACAAAAAGAAATTTTCACTATTATAAGATTAGTAGTTTTTTTTTTTGTAACAATATCACTAGTATAATGTAGGTAGTTCAACTTAATATTTAGGAATAGACGTTTCTACTCGTATGTCAAAGCAGTCGTGAATAAACGCTAACTATCACTGAACGTGTGCTGTTTTACTTACCGGTTCCCGCCAAAACACTACATTGACTAACGAGGCTGGCCATTTTGACGCGTGTGATTTATTACATTGTGAATTGTGATCGAAATAGCAAAAATGACGATCGGACACGTACGCGAGTTTGATATAAAAAGCGGAAGTTGGTCATCTTATATTGAAAGACTAGAAATGTATTTTAAGGTGAACAAAGTAGAAGACGGTATGCGGCTACCAACACTCATTGCGGGAATTGGGGACGAAGCATATGACTTGCTGGTAAATTTAGCAAGTCCAGAGAAACCAGCGGAATTGGCGTTTTCTAAGGTGGTGGAATTGATGAAAAACCATTTGGAACCAGCGCCGTCAGCACTCGCCGAAAGATACAGATTTCGTCAACGAAGGCAGTCAAGTAACGAAAATATCGCAAGCTACGTAGCGGAATTAGAAAAGCTCGCTAGACATTGCAAATTTGAGACAAATCTTAATGAGAACCTTCGAGATCAATTTGTGTGCGGACTCGTCAGTGACGTCATCCGACAACGTCTCTTCGCGGAAGACGACTCGCTGTCCTATTCTAACGCAGTAAAGCTTGCCACATCGCTCGAGGCGGCAGAGCGGGACGCAGCTGCGGTCGAAGCGAAGGCGACGGAGGTGAGCGGGGAGAGTGCGGTGCATGCACTAGCTCACGGAAATATGAGCGCGGGAGCGGCGCTATGCGCGGGAAACTTGGTGGCGTCATGGGCGGCGGTAGAGGCAAGAGGACGCGGAGCGTGGGAGGGGAGCGCAGGCTAGCGAGCACGGACGGAGCGCGGAACATGATGGCGCAGAATCGAAAACGTTGTTATGGTTGTGGAGCATCCGATCATAATTACGCATCGTGCCGATTCCGAAACTACGTGTATAGTAGATGCAGGCGTGTTGGGCACCTACGAAGGGTTTGTCAAGACGGGGGCGACGATACCAACCGCGGAGACAGCGCCGGCGGCGGCCCAAGGCAGGGGCAATTGTACTTCGGAGATGCAACGGCGACCGATGAACATAATGATAACCGATGGGAACCAGAAATGGATTTGCATCACTTATGTTTGAATGACTATCGGGCGTTGAGTTGACCAATTTGCATTGATAATCAGACTATTCATATGGAAGTGGATACAGGCACAGCTGTGTCATGTATAAACTAAGAGACGTTTAACAGTTACTTTAGTCATTACCAGCTAGAAAATAGTGAAATAGTATTTAATTTAGCGCTGACGGCCGGGGAGATCGACCGGTAGCTTATGCGTCACGCTTATTATCTGATGCAGAGAAAAACTACTCGCAAATACACCGGGAGGCTTTAGCGATTATATTTTGTGTCAATAAATTTCATGAATATTTATATGGCAGACGTTTCACATTACGAACTGACCATAAACCTTTAGTTTCCATATTTGGACTAAATCAGGGTATCCCTACCATGGTAGCTAGCCGAATGCAGAGATGGGCGATTATATTATCTGCATATTCGTTTGACATTGAGTATGTGCGTACTGACGAAAACGGGGCGGATGGTTTTTCTCGGTTACCGTTAGTGAGCAGTAAACAACAACAGCTGTCATTACCGGAACAAACGTATTTACATTTGGTGCAGCAAGCTTTATTGTTAGATTACAATGTTATTAAAAAAGAAACTTTACGTGATCACATATTATCGAAAGTACTATATTACATTCGGGAAGGATGACCATCACATTGTGAAATAGACCAACTTCAACCATATTTCAATAGACAAAAAGAGTTGTACGAAGAATTAGGATGTGTTATGTGGGGCCATAGGTTGGTAGTACCTGAAAGCTGTAGACAAAAAGTATTATTAATGATTCACGAACCCCACATGGGCATAGTGAAATCTAAGGCTTTGGCTAGGAGTTACGTCTGGTGGGGTGGCATCGACGAGGCGGTGGAGCAAATGTGCCGCGCGTGTGAGGTGTGCGCTGCGGCCGCGGACGCGCCCCCGCGCCACCAGCCGCGCATGTGGCCCTGGCCCAGTCGGCCCTGGACCAGGCTGCACCTGGACTACATGGGCCCTATAGCGGGTAAAACTTATTTAGTGGTAGTGGATGCGACCTCCAAGTGGCTAGAAGTTTTTAATGTTTCCACGGGTACATCGACGAGCGTTCTAGTTCATAAACTAACGGAATTATTCAGTAGGTGGGGGTTACCTAAACAGATTGTTAGTGATAATGGGCCCCAGTTCACTTCGAGCGAGTTTAAGGATTTCATTGGTTTTAACCGCATCGAACATATTTTTACTGCTCCATATCATCCCGCTTTAAATGGATTAGCTGAAAATGCGGTACGTTCTTTAAAACGTGTAGTAAAGAAGGCACCACCGGTGAGAGCCCGGCTAGGCTCCTCATAGGTAGGCAAATTCGCACACGCTTAGATTCATTAAAACCCGATATTGAGAATAAAGTAATACAAGCGCAACAACGTCAAAAGGATGATTCGGGAGGGGTGAATAGGAGTATGGATTTGAATGAGGATGTTTGGTATAGGCAATTTTTGAAAGGAGAAAAGTGGGTTCCAGGTCGCATTATAGATCGAATAGGTCCTAGTAACTTCAAAGTGCTAGGTAGGGATGGCGAAACAAGACATAGACATATTGATCAATTACGCCGCCGTCCAAGTAGATTCTCACTTGCTTCTGCTACCCCTAGTGTTGGCACAGATTCTTCAGCTCAGGGTGTGTGTATCGAGACACCGGTGCGACAGCGGTCGGAGCGGTGGTCGGGATCGGTGTGGTCGCCGGGCAGCACTGCCTCTCCTTATATAGGAAATTAAGTAGTGACACTTTGACGTCACCGGAAGGGGACTTTGCCACGCTAACGCCAACCGTACCATCTCCCCGGTCTCGCCCTATTAGACAATGCAGGCTAAGAGCTCCTACTTATAAAGAGGTTTAATTAAGAAATAATTATAAGATAGTAACATTAACAATTTCTCATTATAAAACTATAAAATACACTAACTATAAACAAATAAGTCTCTATCTAATTACATAATTACTATATATAAGTAAAATATAAATACTAGAACAATTAATTAATTATAAGATTGTATGTACTATTACTAGTAACTAGTTTTGTTTTAGTTTAATTTGAATAGATTTGTGCTAAGTTAAATAATAAAATTGTTTTGTATATTAAACAATTAAACGTAAATCATTAAGTCATTAAATATATTTAATTGTCATTGATATAGTTAATTAAGCGTAGAGGGATATAATGTAGGTAGTTCAACTTAATATGTAGGAAGAGACGTTTCTACTCGTATGTCAAAGCAGTCGTGAATAAACGCTAACTTCCCGCCAAAACACTACAACTAGCACATTGTAAAGGTGGGTTTGAGTCTGAGTTAAGATCTGGTGGGACACCAAATGCTTTTTCAGATTAGCATAAATTATTTATTGTATTTGGTAACAAAGTAACGAGCACGCAATGGTCGTGGTCTTGAGTCTGACCTAACACCTGGAGGGAAACCAAACACATACATGTGTACATAAGCGCAGATTATTCAAGCAACTTTGTTGTTGCAAAATGAGTTCCTTTATTAAAGCTGTAGTCACAGTGACCTATGGTCGTGGTTTAAACTAAATGTTAAAGTGACAGTATCAATTTTAGTCCATGTTTAATTTTAGTCTACGATTTGTAAAATCACCTATGTCAGATAGTTCGAAAGAGATTTATGTTGTAACTATATGAAGTCCGTGATCTTGCTATGTAAAAAAAACGTTGTATAAATTAAACAGGCGTTCATTTTATAATACAGCCGGCTTGCGTGATTATAGTCGTTATACATTTACATAGAAAAAAAACAGAAAATATAGTAATAAAATAAAATGATCAGATTTCAAATGTATATAACACATTATTTTGTTTCGACATCTCAATGCTATTTTGACATAGATTATGGAGCATAATCAATCACATTATAAAACAGTTATTATCAGAGATTAAGATAATATCTTAAGCTGTTTATTAAATCACATTAGTTTGGATTATAAATATATTTTATTAAATTAAAAGCAAGAGATCATTCATTTTATATCATTTTTATACAGGGCGCATCGAAATGTCCACCGAACTTCATGTTGAGCGTAAGTGGATTTCAGTCGCGAACATAATCTGATATGTTCGAAAAATATGCCCCTTCAGCCATCCTTACCTTGCCAACCTGTACCCAGGGGCGTATTTTAAAATCTGACGCCCCGAGCCACTTATTATATGCACACGCCCTTAGCCCTAGTATAAATATGCTTCTATCTGTACCCATCCGAACCCGTGGAGACGTAGAAACTTACTCACCGACAGAAACAATACCAATTTAAGGTATTTAAGTGATATTTGACTATGGTCGGCTGTACGGTAAAGGTACCGCTGCCCCTACTTCTCTTCAATATATACAGTTTATCAACGCAGGTTACATGCGACAATAACCTAGCCATCCTATTGATGATGAAGGGTCATAATTTGCTTGCTCTTCTGTTTTTTTGCTGTTTTATTCTGTTTTTTTTATTATTGTTGCATGAAAGCAAAGGATGCTAGGCCCATACATCCTTTCAAGTAAAGAAAACTTTTACATGTCTTTTTTGTATCACTAAACAGGTCCTGCCAGAATAACAGCGCTGGTGCGTAATGTCATAGGTGTATAATGTCGCATCAGCTAATGCTGAGTGAGGGTCGTGATTTGCCCTTAGTTCTTTGAATTTTTATTTGTAAATGTGAAAATAATTGTTAATAAAAATTTATTCTATTCTATAATAACATGATTTAAGGCCGCTTATCACCCAAGCATCAATATAAAGAACATTAGCCCCTTTCTGTCATCAATTTTAAGATCGATTTTAAATGAAACAGTAACCTCACCACTATCGTACTGATGATGAACAGTCATAATAACGTAAAACACCAGTAATAACAATTATTATTCTGGATAACTGGTCAATAGGCATTATGCTAAGTCCTTAGTATGTCAAAGTCACAAGTGAGCGCCTGCCACCGTGCGATTTGCGCTCGCGCAGGTATAATGTTGTCGTAAAATCATGATAAAAGCGTCAAGGCCGCACCGCCCTGCACTACAGATACATCGATAGTTTATTGTTCCCTTCGGTTAGAGGCATTTTATTAGCTGTGACAAGGCTGCAAACTTAACGGAGGCATTGTTCACCGATCGTTATACATTAGTTTTGTGTATTTCAGTCTAATGCAAACTTAACGTAGTCATTCAATCACCGACCGGTTTACAGCAGTTTTGTTTATTTCAGTTTACGTGTACAAAACACCCGAGTGTAATAAATATACAGAAAATTTTACTAAAAGAAATTCCAGGCATCAGACAGGATTCGAACCCGCACCGTCCGCTATCTGGGCGAACGTACTAACCTATTACGCTACCGAGATAATAATGGCCGTGTCGACTTCTGGTATTTCTTAAACTACAAGGCAGCGCTATCTCTTCGCATTATAGATAAACCTTTCTACACGGAAAAAGATTAATTTACAAAACAAGTTGAGTTAACCGATGAAAGCCAAACTTTGTATACTAATAAATAAATGTCAGTCACTCATAAACCAACTGTTATTAGTCGAGAATCGAGTTTACTTGAAAAACTACTAAACCATTTTGTTATAAGCTGTCAAATTCGAATTCGGTAATCTGTAACATAACAATGTATTGTTATAATCAAACAAATGAGATGGTTATTTATATAGATTTAGACCTAACTACAACTATTTTGTGCTATTTATAAGCAAGCACAAAAACCGCTATGAATTACTGAAAAGTGATGTAATTGTTATCCAAAGAGTTCGGTTACAGATTGTATGTACGTGTTTTGTTAAATTTTCGGTACATCCGCTAAATCGAGCTATAAAGATTGTATTTTGCATATACACTAGGCGACAAAAAAATCGCAGCTCTGCGACACTAACTTTCAAGCGTTATTATGACCCTTAACACACGCATTTACCCCCACCAATATTGGTGTCATTTAAAAGCCCATTCATTTTGTAACCAATTACAAAACAGTTTTGTTAATTTTACATAACTGTTTTGTTATAACAACACTATTTTAACAAAATTGAGTTTGTCTACTATTTTTTTTGTTATAAGTAACTCAAAACTTTTTTCAGTGTATTAAATAACTGTATCTATTGCTTAGTAGTCCGCCTTTGTCCATTTTTGTAACTGTGGCAATAAATGACAAAACTGAGAATAAATATAGAAACTGTATCAAAATCTGCTGTGTAGTTCAAAAGATCTCAGCGTACAGCGGGAGCGACTTTGATTTATACTATGATATAGATTACTTAATTAATGGTAATGGTACCGTGTACAAGTCCTCGATCCTGGTCGTGACGCCCATGACCATCTGCACCTAGGGACACAGGTAGAGAGTAGCGCGGAACCACTCGCATATTTTCTGGACGCGTGTTCAGCTGGGCTAATGATGAGTGATGAAGAATATCATACCATGTTCAAGTCCTCGATCCTGGTCATAACGCCCATGGCCATCTCATGGCGGTCGGCACGTGCCTCGGGGCACGGGTACAGAGTAGCGCAGAACCCCTCGCATATCTTCTTGACGCGCGTATTCAGCTGGTCTAATTATAAGTGATAAAGAGTATCATACCGTGTTCAAGTCCTCGATCCTGGTCATAACGCCCATGGCCATCTCATGGCGGTCGGCACGTGCCTCGGGGCACGGGTACAGAGTAGCGCAGAACCCCTCGCATATCTTCTTGACGCGCGTATTCAGCTGGTCTAATTATAAGTGATAAAGAGTATCATACCGTGTTCAAGTCCTCGATCCTGGTCATAACACCCATGGCCATCTCGCGGCGGTCGGCAGGCGCCTCGGGGCACGGGTACAGAGTAGCGCGGAACCCCTCGCATATCTTCTTGACGCGCGTCTTCAGCTGGTCGCCTTGGAAGAATATGATGAACACCGACTTGTACACCTGGTCCGACTGTAGGAAGACAAAACAATATTGAATAATTTCATTCTTTGCTTGCTTTTAAACGTACGTACACATAACGTAAACGACCTCAATCTGGCATTCTTAGGTCAATTGTCACAGCAACCAAAAGTAAAACTTCTGTACGACCAAATTAAACACAGAATGTCATGCGCAGACTGTAAAATTTTGCATGCAGACAATAAATCCTGGCAGTTTTATATTTGTATGGAACATAGGTGGTACTGACTAATTGTCAATACTGTATTGAAACAACAACTTAGACCCAACGAATTTCATGGATCGTTGTTTTGAATTACAGAAACATACATTCATCTGTCTCATGGTTCTCCTACGCTGCAAGAGATGCGGCGTGAACCTGTTATTATAAATACTAATAGTTATAACATACAGCAGCTTCAACTTACCGAAGAAGGGTCTTCTAGGGGGGTGTCGATCTCCGCCTGCCTCAGGAAGACATTGCCGCGACACGCGCGCCACAGCATGCGCTCAAACGCGGGTATGCGTTCCCGCAATATCACGCCGGCCACGAAACTAAACGCAAAACTACGTTCAGAATACGTACAAAGCAATTTGAACTTTGTGAGCCCTGATTCACCCACGAAATTTGCGTGTAGTGTATTGTGATGTGACACATGTATAGTTGTTAATCCCATACACATCCAACATTAATTTTTATTTGAAACTAAAAAAAGACCAAAGGTAAATGCCCATTGAAATGGAAGCATACCATTTAAACCAATCTAATAAAAAAACATGACCACACGCTAGGAGAAATAGGAAACATTTATACAAAAGGTAAAAAATATGTTGCAAATAAAAGATTGTACTATTGACTTAAAGCTAGAAATCATTGCAGTTCATACACGATAATGAATCAAATTAATACTCACTTAAACATTAGGTTATAAAGCTTATTTGCTAAAGTAACCTTTATTCACAGAACATGTTTTTTTTTTCATTTCAGCCAGCTAAACAAAATGTAGAAATAGATACCTTTTTTATATGTAATGCAGCAATAGATGTTCGTGTCCATTACATAAAGGTCTACCGCGTACTTAGCAACAGCAATAAAAGAAAATCTCGATAACAACTTGCTTCTTTATAACACTTTGGCTTAGATAAATAAAATGTCATAAGTACAGAAACTTTGTTTTATTCATGATCGTCAACTGCAATGGAAGGAGACGTCGATTTGCATGAACGTTTAAATAAACACGAAGTAAAATAAGACGTTTAAAATTACAATAGTTGCAAGCTATTCTAATTATCTTAGTGTTAAGAACGCGTGCCTTGGCAAGGTTCTTCTCATTATAAATTAATGGAACATCTGGAACTAGGTTAAACACCATCTTTTCTTACTGAAATATATGTAAATGTAAGTTATACGAGCATTCACATGATAATCTATTAAATTATCATCAGTTATGTATGAATGAAATTCGACGAACGATTAGTTAACCCAGTGTTTACCTGCAATGGGTACTTATGATTAAAATTACTCAATTAAAAATACTTGATCCGTTCACCCGTAACAATATTGTTAGATTGCGCACCACTAACAATATGAAAAACAAAGTAAAGGATTTTTTGTACCGGGTCAGCTCATAGTAGTAAGTACAATGGATCATGAATTATTGCATTATCTTTTAGGTGCCTACAGTTTCGAAATACTACAAGTTTTAGAATGTATAGCTTAAAAAACTAAGGATAGCTTCAAATGCTACGAATTACTTGAAGATGGAAAGGCGAGATTGAAGACTATCTGAAACTATCACGAATATAGATATTTTAAAAGGAAAATTACAAATTACGAAACATAAAAATTCATTAATCTTTTAAATTTCAATGAAAGTGGAATAATCAAACGATAAGCAGTTGTAATCATTTAAAAAAATATGTGTCTGATACATTTAGGTAGGTAAATACATTTGATAAAGTGAACAGACGTAATGGATCACCTTTAATCATATTTATAGAGGAGTCGTCACAATGACATGGAAAAAACTTTATTAAATTATAAATTCATATTAAGTTTACGTTAATATGCTTTATTTTCTTTTAAATTGATTTCTTTTTTTCAAAATAGATCAAAATAAGTGATTTCGGAAATCAGGATAATAGTGATAAATCAATATCAATGATATTATTTATTGCATATGGAGGTCTTAATGCCAGTATGGCATTCTCTACGAGTCAAGAGTGTGTAAAAATTTTATGCAGTGATATTGAAAGACCGATACTAAAATGTTTTTTAATAAAAATTTAACAGACTTAAAAAAACTTAAAATTAAAAAACAAGATTTACCGACTGATATATTTGAAATCGATACCAAGCCATGTGTTTAGAAATTAGATTATGATAATCGCATCAAAATGTGTCAGTCGGAAAATCTTTCTTTTTTTCACTTTTTCTTTCATTAATAATTTAAATTTTTTTTGAAGGCGGCTATTTAATATGAAAAAATATTTTCCTTAGAAGTTTTATTTTCAGTAGATTCAAGGAACCGTAGACCTGAGTATATAATTTAAAGGAGACGGTATAGTTTTGTATGGGAGGTGGTAGTGAGTAACCGGCAGCATTGGCATTTATACCACTTAAAGTTCATATTTTTTAAATCTTTTACTAATTTTTCAGATTTTTTTGTACCCCCGTTTTTTTGTAATTAATTATCAAAGTTCCAGGAAATAATTAATCTGGCAGCATTATACTCAATTCTTAAATATGCAGATAGTGCAAATCCTATTATCGATTATCGATACTTTTCATTAGGTAATCGCTTTATATGCTCATTCTATTAATGAATGTTAATTACAATTATATAATGTAATCCGGGTGCTGTCATAGATAGCAGTCGTGCCTTTGGGGTTTCCCAAGGGTTGGAGTCAAGCAGGCCATAAAAATCGAAATGACAAAACTATAGGATTTGCAGCGTTGTCAATATCAAGATACTGACTCCATTTAAAATGGGTGCAGAGTAAGAAGATGACACACATCCATCTATACTCATATTGCACCAAAGCCAAAATAAATTGGGAGCAGGGTGGCAAGTGCCGGCCGTGTGATGCCCACAGAGTAGAATAGTATCACCCCGTTTCCTCTAATGGGTGTCATAGAAGGCGACTAATGGATGGAGTTTTTACCACCTTATTCTGCGTCCACCAATCTGCATTTGGAGATTGGGCAGTAGCCCAAACGTACTTTCTTAACAAGGAGTCGGATTAAAAAGGCTGTGATAATGAGGGTAGGAAGTTGATGATTTCCTTGCATTATATTGCAATATGTTATTAATTTAAAATTATTCAATTAACAATCGTGCAAAGTAAATAATTATGTAAGAATTTATGAAGTCAATGTCCAGTAGACTTTGTGTTTACATTTATGCATATCTGCATTTTCGTGATTCTGTCTATTGTTTATCATAAATAATCGTAGCTTTATAAGCCACGTTTAGCTATGAATCTCTTCACTTAAAAAATGGTTGCCTGTAAAGTCGGTTTTACGGGCGAAGATTTTACGTGACAACGTCTTTTTCTCGGTAGAATATTTATTGATATGAATATAATTAAATTGCACAATAGGAACAAGGAATTGAATGAAAATAAGAATTGCACAAATTTTAACTATAGAAATATATTTTGTTTACTAAAACATTGTACATGTAAACTTAAACTTAACACGAGAGACTCATCGTAACGTTACCGAGCGTTACACTTTTTCATAAGTGACTCCCAGCTGCAACCTAATTTAAGACGTTGTCACGTCAAAAACCATTATGATTTTTAAACAAAAGTGGAAGAAACCCTTTATTACCCTATACTACAAAAATAATGATTAGTCTTATTTTGAAATAATCTTGATATATAATCGAATAGTAATATCTTCTATTATCGATTACTGATTGTATTAGTTATAACACAACACTGATTTTCTGTGCGTTTGACACATAAAAAGTGAGTTCCTTCGGCTTTGTTCGTTTCTGTTCGCGGTATTGTTTATTTTTATATTTATTTGATCTTTTCTAATGTAAACTGGCTACTTTTATACTGACTACGATATTCCCGCTTATTCTGTTGACCCCTTCTCTGTCTTCCGGATTCCCGTTTGCTTATTATTTGGATTTTTAATTGCCCCGGTCGGATATCACGACATTTTGTCAATGTAAGTAAATCTTTTCGAAAACTCTATTCACTGCTAAGAAAGAAAGAAAGTAAAACTGAGAGATAAGTTAATTACTTATCTCATTTCTTTGAGTTTCACCGGAGTAATAATACGTGTTCTGAGATTCATTAAATTAATACATTAAATTAATAAATAGTTCAACATTGTGACCGGTGACATTTGAAAATGCTCTTTATCTCATTTTAAAATGACTACTTTTTGTTAGTTAAATTCTCAACAGTGCAACTCATTATTGGCTTAATGCGTAATCGTCGCGAAGCTAATAATTAATAAGAAGACAAAGAGTCACTTTTCTCTTACACTTTCTATTCACAAATTGTTGTTCATTTGTCATTTGATTTCAGATATCATGGCATGTATGAATTGCCACATACTGTTGAGGCAGAATATACAATTACATGAATACAATGTTACTAATCTAAGTTCCGAACTTGTATCTATTGTTGAAGAATGGTGTGGTCTTGAGGTAAGTGCAGATTATTTAAATAGCATAGTGTATGTACTCCTGTTTGTGATATAGAGGACCATTTAACAATGCTATAAAATTCTTATAACAGGTGTCTATTAATGATCAATTATGTCAGGCATGTCTAATGCTTGTGATAAGAGAGGCAGCTAATCGTGATAAGGACCCTAGTCATCACCCGGAGAGGGAGATTGGACACTCCTGTGTTTAAGTGTGCTGTGGAGTATCACTATCTACACAAAGTGAGCGGCGTCATCTCAGACTGCCATCGAGGAGTGTAGCACCTAAATTATATAGAGAACCAAATATTTCCTTGGTCCAAAAAAACAAATAGCTAAAATATAATATCATACATACCATATGTATGATATTATATTTTAGCTATTTGTTTTTTTGCATTTTATATTATTCAGATTTGATTTGTAACATTAAAATTAGGTATATTAGAATGTTTATAGGTTTCATTTCTATAAGAAGAGATCTGTAAGACAACCTTTTGATGGACAGGCAAGACTTAAAACTTCTGAAGGAAGTCATTGGTGTACTTTTTCTTGAAATATTAGACCAATAGTTTATATATTATTTTTTTAATGTCTGATTAACATAGAACAAAAAAATAAAACATTTCCTTAATTTTCAGGTTTCTGCAAAAGCTTGGGTATGCCATGCTTGCTGGATGAGAGCCTATGAAAACCATCCATTACAAGACGACATAATTGAAATACCTCCAATTGCATTCGTCGAGTCCCCATCTGACAGGAATGCATTTCTTGTACTGGATCCAGTGGAGTTAGATTCTTCGGTTCCAGCAAGTTCAGTACTGCCTAGTTCTGAATCAAGTTCTTGGGCTGGAGGTGGAATAGCAAACCCATCACCAAACCAAAA